GTATGACAATTCCAAGATCCTTCTCACTTGTAGTATTGCTGAGCCAGGTATTCCCCCATCTTGTAACTATGCATTTGGTTTCTGTTTCTGAGGTGCAGTACTTTGCACATATCTCTGTTGAATTTCATTCTGTTTTCAGCCCAGTACTCCAGCCTATCAAGATCATTTGGAAATTTGTTTCATTCTTCCAGGGTACTAGCTATTCCACCCAATTTTGTCACCTGCAAATTTGATTAGCATTTCCTGCATTCCCTCATCCAAGTCATTAAGAAAAATATTAAAGAGCACTGGACCCAGGACTGAGCCTTGGGTTACTCCACTTGTTACTTCCTCCCAGTTGGAGAAGGAGCCATTAATCATCACCCTCTGAGTACCATTCTGTAACCAATTTGTATCCACCTGACACATGATCTATCCAGCGCACACCTAGTTAGCTTGCTAATCAGAATATCATGGAGCACTCTGTCAAAAGCTTTACTAGAGTCAAGATATATTATGTCTACAACATTCCCCGCTGTCTATCAGGGAGGCTATCCAATCAAAAAATGAGACCAGATTAGTCTGGCAAGGATTTGTTCTTGACAAATCCATGTTGGCTTCTAGTCATTGCTTTCTAGGTGCTCGCACAGTGACCGTTTTATAATTTGTTCCAAAAAATTTTCCTGGGATTGAAGTCAGACTGACTGGCCTATTGTTCCCAGGTTCCTCTTTTTTGTCCTTTTTGAAGATAGGGACATTAGCCCTCCTTGCAGTTGTCCTTTTACAATTTCTTTTTTAAAAGAAAATCTACCCTTCTTGGATTCCTTTTCTTGTTAGGATCTCCTGCTCTGAGACCTTACTCATCCTTGTGCTGAGATTACTAAAATTGTCTTTTTTAAAACCAGCATATGTGTGCGGCTACACTCTGCTTATGGGGACATGGTGGCACTGCGGGTTAAACTGTAGAAGACTCTGTGTGCTGTAAGGTCGGAAGACTAAGCAGCCGTAAGATCGAATCCACACGACAGAGTGAGCTCCTATCGCTTGTCCCAGCACCTGCCAATCTAGCAGTTCAAAAGCATGCAAATGCGAGTAGATAAATAGGTACCACTACTGTGGGAAGGTAACGGCATTCTGTGTCTAGTCACGCTGGCCACATGACCACAGAAACTGTCTTCGGACAAACGCTGGCTCTACGGCTTGGAAACGGGGATGAGCACTGCCCCCTAGAGTCAGATACAACTGGACTAAATGTCAAGGGGAACCTTTACCTTACACTCTGCTTTGGTCTCCTTTGAAATCAAGATTTCTAGGAGAACACAGAACTCACCCAGAGTTCCCCTTACTACCACTTCCTCCACCAAGTCATCTCAATTGATCTATCAAGTCAAGAACAGCCAGTCCTCTAGTTTCTTTGTCCATTTTTTAAGGAGAAAATTATCAGTCACACAAGCTAGGAATTTCTCGGAAAGACCACATTTAGCAGAATTTCCCTCCCAACATACATCCAGATAATTGAAATCTCCCATCACTACTACATTGTATCTGTGCCATCCTTGCAATTTGTTTTTCAAAAGTTTCATCCTTTTCCTCTCTTTGATTGGGCTGCCGGTAACGGACTCCAACTACCATGTTCCTTTTGGGTTTTGCCCCAAGAAGATCCCAAGGGTTGTGGTGAAAACACTGAGTGCAATGAGATTCCTTCACATCTTCTTTTACCAAAACTTTGGTTCAGAAACATGCATAGGAGGTACATGGCTTTGGCCTATTAAATGTTCCTTACAATAATAAACTGCAGTTTGGTGTAAATCACTGTACTTAATGGACACAGAGAACTGGATAGTATAACAAGACACCTCTTAGTTTTTGATGGGAACTATAGTTTCAGCCATAATTTAAACCTGTGTTGGTTCCATACTGAAAGAGTAGAGAACATGTGGCCCTGCAGAGGTTGTTGGGTTATCAACGCTAACCTGCATAGCCAATAATGAGGGATGAAGGGCAGTGGAATAAAATCTGGAGAATTATATGTTCCCTAACTTTGGAATCACACAAACCCAAACTATAGAGAAGATGGGCAACAGTCTACTTCATGTAATAACTGGAAACTTCACAAGAGTCACTAATATACTCTGCTGATACTTTGGAGACTGCTGTGCATAGCAAACTTAATTGGCTTAAATCTAGTCTGTCAAGTGTATGTAGTGCTAATTCCAAATTTTGGAAGGCTACAGGAAAGCCATGGTTTTGCTGAAGTTTAGGAGAGTCAAAGTTTGGGACCTGAGGATTTTTTAAAGGGACTCAATCCCTTTCCACACAGCTGTCAAAGGGCTGGCAAAACATTAATGTATGGCATACCGGCCCTTATTCTCAACATATTTTCCTACTACAGAGGCATGCAAGGTATACTTAAATTATACTAGTCAGTAAAAAACAGATAATCTGCCATTTTCTTTCCTAAATAAGTCTTAAGCAGTTAAAATGTGTCCATTATGAGAGAAACTGTAAGAATGCTTTAGGAATCTGTGGCTATATGCCACCTAACACATCAAAGCAGTGCTGAGATTAATCAGATTTAAAATTTACCACAAATGGATTTGGAAAAACAGTTTCCTGGCACAAGACAATGCCAGAGCATGAGCACTGTATTTCAGCAGTATGTGTATAAAATGAGGCATTGGACAGAAGGGCAGGGGAAACGACTAGCTGAGCCTGAGGGTCAAACTACACAAATTGTGTAGCCACATGAGACATTAAGAAGATAAAAGGTTTATGAAGCTGTCCAATATATGTTCCATATATCATATAGTATAATCCTAAATTAAATTCTTCAGAGGAGTCTAATGCTGCCTGAAGGCTGCTTCTTGTCCTGTTATTATATGGGACAGGAACATTTCTGCAGCTGATGTCACCCTCAGAAAATACTACAGAGGTGTAAATGCTGTATGTGCAACAAGTTTGAGAAAAGCTGCAATTTGGAATGTGTGTTTATGAGTAGCTGGAAGCCTTCTTGCCAAGCAGAGCTGTTAGGTCCTTTAGGATTAGAACAGATTATTCACTTGTCTTCTTGGAAGTAGAGTTAAGATTAGGAGTGGATTTGCTGGTGAAGAAGATGCTGTCAGCAGCCTGTGGTGCCTATGAGTGGATCTCCTCAAACATGAGGAGCTTTGTTTAGCATTTTAAGATGTAAATTTACAGGAAGGAAATAAGCAACATTTTTGCTGTGGTCCTCTGATTTCATAGGAATAAATCTCAGATGCCACACCAAGAGTAAATTAATAGGCAATGTTGGCTATACAGTACTGACAACCTGTTTCACTGAAACCTACTAAAGTCAGAGATGTAAACAAGTGATGGAGTCATAGAAATAATGCAGTTAGTTTTAGATTCTGAGCTTAATAGTATTTGTGTGTTAGAGAGTGATGGCTGTTCAGACAACAATATAAAGGCGTAATCACACCTGCCAAAAGAACCAGTTATACTGATTTTTTTCACACCTCTGCTTTGTGTGTTAGAGAGTGACGGCTGTTCAGACAATATAAAGGCCTAATCACACCTGCCAAAAGAATCAGTTATACTGATTTTTTTCACACCTCTGTTGTACTAATATATTTATTTTTGCGGTCATGTACTTAGCAGTTTTCAACCAAGCAGTCCTGTATAAAGCAAAGATTTGTAAACTATAGACCCAATCAAGATAGTCATGGTTGATGGGAGCGACAATCCAAGAGCAGCCTGGAAGGCAACAGGCTAACCACCATGTAAAAATCTGGGCATAAAAATTGGACTATGGTCACAAAGTAAACCAGCACACTATCTTTCTAAGATAAGGGCCAGAATTCGACTGGGTGCTTAAGGGTATAAGCGTAATTGCATAAACTGTAGTGGCAAACTGCTATTGGCAAAGTGTGGAAATTGCTGGCTTAAAAACTCCAGCTATGCAGTGAAGAAAAATCCAAACAGGGGCCTACAGAGCAGACTGTTATAATTACAAGTCTCCCTCAAATATACCACCCCTTATTATTTGATTAGTTTTGCCTCAACTGACAATATAATCTCAATAGCTTCATTCAGAGACTCTATGCTAAGAATAAAAAAGGTTTCTAGTGTACTCACAAATCTTCATATATATATCAGAACAACAAACAAAACATGTACAGTACTTATTATATAATTTGAGATTTTAACTGGTTAACTTCATTATTTTGACTAACTGACTGGTTACATAAACACTTCACTCAGACTGTTAACTCCATAACTGTAATACTCACCAAACAATATCCAAACACTGACACTGAATTCTGACTGAGTAAAAAAAAGGCAGGAAAAGCAGTCTTGAGTTAGAGAGGGAACATTTGGGTGCTACTATGCGATTGACATACAACCCAAAAGTCCCTCCCTTGCTCCTAAAGGCATAATATGCAGATTGCTATACAGTAACTGTAACAATTGCCACAATTAAAGCTGTATCTGTGGTCATATATCAATACTGGGTAACAGGGTTTTTTTTATTTAACACTATAAACATTCACTTTATTTCCAAAGCAAATAATAAAATAAAATACACAGCATGGAGATTTAGCTAAACTGCCTGGATTATATCATAAGAGCAGGTTCTGGTACTATTAGATAAGCTTTTAATAATAGGTGGGGAACACATGACTCTACAAATGTTTTAACTATAACTCACAATCCTCTAGAATGGATTATGCTGGCTGCAGCTGATGGAAGTTGCAGACCAAAACACTGGGAAGACCTGTAAGATTCTCTACAGCACAACTCAAGGGAAAATATCTAATATGCACAGTCAGTAAACATTGCTTTTGCCAAAAGTGATATTCCCTATCAAAAATAACTAGTTGCAGGTATTAGAAGCCTCCCACACAGTGTCTCTGTTTGCTATGCTGTTCAAAGAGCTCAGGACCTTCAGAAGTCAGATTTAACAGTGTTCTTACATTGCTGAGCTTATCAGGCTCAGCTGCCATGATAATATCAGCACCTGTGGTCTGTGCTGCACATTATTTCACTAATTGCATTGAGGATTACATACAGATTGTGAAGTGTTTTTCATCTTCTTAGTGGGTTTTAGGTACACCTGCTAACAGCTCCAGCAGAGTTTAAATCGAAAGCAGAAGAAACTAAAAATAAGATCTCATCTCTCTCTGTTTTGTAGTTCAAATCACTTCAATCTATGCCATTTAACGCACACCTGTATTCTTCATGATGCTGCAGGTTTGCTGCTGACTGAATAGAACGTAACATCAGGTATCTCAGACACAGGCTAGTGGCAGTTATCAAGATATAAAGTACAGCATATTAAGTCATGCAAGGCTACAAAGCAATGGTTTTTACTTTGTGAATGATTACTATATTAATATTAGTTTCACCCATCTCCCACACTTGAGGCTTTTAAAGTGTGCTTCTTATATCCCGAATACTTAATGCACTTCTCTGGACAGTTTACAATTTAATTGTGCAGGCTCAACACGGCTCCCACTCCCTTCAGTGAGTTGGGTGGTCAATTTACCAGCCTCAGAAGGATGAAAAGCTGAGTGAACCTCAAGCCAGCTACCTGGGATTGAACCAGGGTCATAAACAGAGTTTTGGCCGCAGTAGTTAACCTCGAGGCAAAATCCGGAGCTGGAGTCCCGAAGGCAGCATGTGTCGTTCTGCCAACTCCTGCGACATTGCTGGAAACAGTTGTATTGGCTCTTGCCTTTCCATTGGACCATTTCAGCAATGTGGAGAGGGGGGATCTGCTGCTTGGGTAACAGCCTATCCTCCATATTACCTTAGATGAAAAGCTGAATGAACCTCAAGCCAGCTACCTGGGATTGAACCAGGGTCATAAACAGAGTTTTGGCCGCAGTACTGCAGTTAACCACTGTGCCATGAGGCTGCTTAGCACTGCTTCCCTGTAATCACTCAGATACAGAACTAAAATGAAGGTTCTACACAGTACTTTATTATAGCACTATACTAACCAGTAAAGACTAAGGTTCCCTTTTAGCTGGGTGCACTTGCGTGCCTCTCCCTCCTTCCGCACAGCTGTCTTCATGCTCCGCGCAGCATTTGTGTTAGGTGCCGGTCACGACAGAACCCTGCGCACGGGGAAGTGAAGTTGTTCACGTGCAGAAGCAAAATTACAGGAGAGGTAGAGCCCCACCGAGCAGAGCTGAAAATTAGAGGGTATGTTAGTAAGGACCATAAAGTTTACTCATTAGTAAATGCCACTAAATAACGGTCCTTCCAAAATATTTTAAAAGCTTCCTGGTTGTAGAATTTGACTCTTCCATTGCTTCCTGCTGAGAAAACGGATAAACAGTTTCTCTTATACAGTGTGACTGCCCCATTTTAACTATGGACTGTCCAGATGTAGCATTTGTTCCACCTTCACAACTGAGTTGTGTACTGATCTTATCATATTTTTTTCTGACATCCAAATGACATTTCTTTTGCCTCATTTTGCACCTTTTTTCTTCTTCCCTTATCTTCCATATATTTTCTCTATCTACAAGCCTTGATTTTTTTTCTTTCTTCTCAGCCACTTGTATTTGGGGGCATAGTGCTTTATTAGTATTTTAGAGTGAATTCCTGATGAAATCTAGGAAGCAGTAAAACAGAAGTGTGACTACAGTGCAGGCTCCTTGCAAAGTCTTAGGACAGAGGCACACTCTACAGAGCCCTCCAATTTCATGTCAATAATGCTGCTGAAGCACTTTAGTGCTAGTTAACAGGACATGAATCCCCCTATTTCCAAGCGACATGGAAAGAAGGCAGAACCAACACTGTGGAAAGCCCTTTAGTCAGTTTAACATTAAGTTGCATCACTGCTGAATGAGCAGCAACAATATATTCAATATATAAAAATGTAACTATTTGACTCTCTGCAATTCAACCCCAAAATTGGAAAGGGTCCTTCCCTTAATTAATGTACTTAAATGGTTTGCCAGAAACAGCTCACCTTAAGACAAAATCAATGATTTTCTATAACAGTATTATTCAAGTTATGCCTATGTGACAAAGTAAAACAAAGAAGGCTTTGTGTTCAGAAAAACTCAGCTGAAACGGAAAAGCTCTATTGGCAAAACGAATTAGAGCCTTTTAGTCTAATCAAGAAGATAACCTTGCTGTAGGCAGGTAGACTTTCTCTTTGCGGTTGAACTTATTTCATGTTTTCTGGTTCTTTTTAGTTCATCTTTGCCACAGTGTCGAAGAGAAGCAAGTCCCAGCCTTCACAGAATGAAAAAAAATTTAAATTAAAAAGGCAAAATGTTCACAAAATGGTGGGACTGTACTTTGAGGAGGAAATGTAATCTTGTTTGCATTTACTAGTTTTTAAAGGAATAGATGAAAAGTCCTGCATTTGTATATTAGTAACTAGGGATGGGATTTTTGGAATTCAAGGCCTGTGTTCTATAGCCTGGGGGGAATCCTGCCAAATTAGGTCCCTAGGAATTCTTGAATTCCAAAAATTCCATCCTAAAAAGTAATCAGGTCCCCACACTTCTGCCTCTATATCAAGTCAACAAAAACATCATCTTGATATTTAGTAACAGTTAATACATATTCTCTATTCTGGAAAATGCATGATTAGCTTTCATGCACCAGGATGGGGCTTCTGCACCAGAGACACATTTTATTACAGAATATGCAAAGAACTCAACCTGCAATGTAGGCATTCTGCAACAATGTCATGTGAATAGCTGTAAACATTTTGTATTCCTGAAGGCTTTCATGGCCTTCAATGCCCATAGGTTTTTCAGGTTGTTTGGCCATGTTCTGGAGGTTTTTCTTCCTAACGTTTCGCCAGATGCCAGCCACAGAGACTGGCGAAACATTATGAAGAAAAACCTCCAGAACATGGCCAAATAGCCTGAAAAACCTACAACAACCATGTAAACATTTTATTTGAATTTCAGCTTTTTGCCATGTGCTGTTTATTTAAAAAAGGATCCCACTACAGTCTGTGAGTTTGTTTGTTTTTTAATCCATACGATGTACGTAACATATCAGGATCACAAACTGTCCCATTCTGGTTTCAGTTACCCACAAGTGATGTCACTACAAGAAAATATGAATGTATGAGAATAATTCATGATTAGTCCATAGAAACTCTGCCAAAATAGGCTTTAATGTTATTGCAATTGTTGACATACCAGTCCATCCTCCCACCCCATCTATGTCTAGCATCCTGCCTAACACAGGGTCCAGCCAGATGTCTTTGCAAAGGCCACAAGCTGTGTTTGAAGGTTATAGTTATCTTCCGTTGTTTTGGCCCTGAGGCAGAGCACAAAACAGCGTTCCTTCACCCAAGTTAAGATACCTAATTCCCAATGCCACTGGGCACTGAGCTAATCATGAAGACAACTATGCAGACATTCCTGCTGACCATAAAAATACAGTAATAATACTATAAATAGCTAACAATTTGCTCTCCTTTCGAGAAATCTCGAAAGCACATGCCTTATTTTGCCTTAAAGGACCAAAACTACTTCCAGTTGTTCTCCACTGCAGTCCAGAAACTGGTTTACTTTCTCCTTATACTGGCAGCCAGAAGGCCCTGTGCAGCTGTTTTATCCTCACTTGAATGGATTTTCCACAGTGAGGGGGGTGGAATTGGAAAAAAAAAAGCAATGGAAAAACAAGGAAGGGCTGGAGGCTAATGACGTCTGAAACTTTTATCCACTGCAGTGAATAAGGCAGGCCAATGGGGCGGTAAAGCCGTATCTTGAATGCCAAAAATGTTTCCGATAGTAGCTGTACAGAAGTTAGGAAAATTTAATTTAGACCGATTCGAGAACTCCAAAACGACGCTTTTAACCCCACTGACAATAATTATACTCTAAACGTTAAGGGTTCAGTCCTAACCTTCCCTCGTTTTCCCACCGGTTCTCGCAGGTTTTTTCTTTTCTGCAGAAAAACCGGCAAGGCATAAAAAAGGCGGGCTGATTCTATTTGTCCATCCCATTCCTTCAAAGCAGTAACACGAGGAGGCGCTCTCCGTCTGAACGGACCTGCGTTTATAGCAAGGTGAACACGAGCTCTTGCCCACCTCTTCCTCCTGAGCACGCCCTGCCCCGACACAAAAGCCAGCGGGACAGGACCGGCCCGCTTCTTCCCGTGAAACACGTCGACGGCTGCCGTCCTGAACAGGGGGGAGGGGGAGAAGATTCCCGCCTCCCACAAGCATTTAACTAAGGCTGGATCCCGTCAGGAGGCGGAGGCTTAAGGACCACAGAGGCAAGAGAGGGCGTGGCTTGGACGCCTCGCAGCCCCGCCCCCTGAGGGAGCTATAAAGGCTGCGAGAGCGCCGCAGTTGCGCGCCGTTGCTGTCTGTGTGGGTTGCGTGCTGAGTCGTCAGTCCTGAAGCTGTCCGTCTGGTTGCACCGCGTCACTACATCCTTGCCCAGCGCAGGTCGGTTCTTCTTTTCTGCGTTTTCTACTTTCGGCTCTTTTTACCATCTTGTTTTGTTTCCGAGGGGGGAAATGTGCTGGCTTCGTAACGCGTGCGCGCGTTTCTGGAGGGTAGGCTCTGAAAGAGACTTGACAGCCGTGATTTGCCTCTAACCGTAGGAGTGCAAGCTTCTTTTCTACAAGCTTCCTCACCCTTTCCTATCATTACCGAAAACGAAAGACTTGGAACCTTAAAGGAATCCCGTCCTGTTTCCTCTTGTTGTGACCTACCTGAAGCTCTGCGATCTCATTCTGTGCCGGTGAGGGAAGAATGGAGGTTACTTCAATCAGTGGAAAGGACAGAAGAACCTTTGTATATATTCAGAGTAACTGTCGCTTTCTTCTAGTTTGGCGTCTGTTACCAGCTCCATACAGTAGTTAAATTTTCTTATTAAAGAAATAAGGTGTTGGTACCCTACTTTCTCTTTTTCTCTGTTCTTTTCTGCTCTCCTGTAACTGAACTATTGGGTAACTCACTGAATCCAGGTTAAAAAAAATAACCTGTTGGTTTCCAACAGTGGCCATACTACTGGCTGACCAAGAATACTGAGCGTTTCTTGCATTTGTGTAGCATTTATGGTTGACCTTCCTTCTACTTTGTCCTCTCTCTGGGGGAAAGGTATGCTAGCCTATGGTGATAATTAGCATTAAATGAAGACCTGGTTACTGTTCTTTGAACTGTGTCTAGATTCCTAGCTCAATGTGCAATGTCTTGTAAAGTGACTGTTGGCTAGTAGGTAATGTACCGGTAAGAAACAGAGCTACTCCTAGGAGCATGAGAAGGACATGCAGGATCAAACCAAAGAGCTGTCCTGTTCAGTGTTGTTCTCCCACAGTGATGGACCAGATGCCTATGGGAAGCCTACAAGCAGGTTATTAATGTCAGTAGTATGCTTTAACTCGTGCCCCCCAGCGATTGTTGTATATTCTTCGTTCTCTGTATGATTTGTCTAGTGCTGTGTATGCATAATGGCATCAAAAGTGTGTGTCTTTTCATAGTTGTGTGTGTGGAGGGAGAGAAGTCTGCTTTAAGATGTGTTCAAAGAAACTGGCAGCTAGAGTATACATCCACTTGGATGGCTAGCTGTACTGTTAGGACTTTGGGAGATCTTAACTCTGCAAACCAACTCATCATCAGTTTGGGTCTTGTGTTTTAATGTCTAGTGGAAGAGTATGCTGTAACACCAGTTTATATTCGTATGCATATAATTCTTGGCTATTTTCTTTTGTTTGTTTCACCTGTCTGCTAATCTCTAGGAAGTTCCCCTGCTTCCTGTTCTGTGAAATGTTTTTAAATAGACATGGATTAATTGGAAGAAATGCAGCTACCTGTTGTAAATCCCTTAGCAGAAAGCTGAATGGTTTAGGTAATGAGGCTTAGTCACTTGCCCTTAAAGCAAGTCCAGATCACCTGCATACTAATGTATGTTGTCTTGAGCCCAGATCTGTTTACTGTCAAGTTGATGATGAGATAATGACAAATTCCAGTTTCTTAAAAGGGAGTGTGCATCTAGTGATAAGAGGGAATGGAGCATTATTGCACTGAAAATCTATTTTAAAAGGTGGCTGAGGAAGCCTTTTATTCCTGTGTCAAGGCAAATAGGATGTAAAAATGTGTACTAGCTGTGTAAATGCTAGTAATAAATCTTGGCTAATATTTTCTATGCTTTAGCTAGATCTTTTGTGAGAAGCAGAATGCATTGTTTCCCCTTGGTAAAGGATTGGTAAATGTTTTGTAATTCTTCCACACTTTTTGAATTGTTTGCTTGTGAAACCTTTGGAAGTAACTTTGATATACCCTTTTCAGTAGAGGGCAGACTGCAAGTTCCTGCAGTAGAGAAAGTGGATGAAAATAAGAGCAGTGAGTTCTGGAATTCTGTAATTACCTCTACAAAATATCCCTCTGTATTCTTCAGAATTTTTTTCCTTGTCGTTGTATGGAGCAAGTTCTGTCATGAAGAATTGCAAAAGCAGGGTTGATGGAAAACATAATGCTATTGGCTCTCAAAAACACTCAAGAAATTATGCAACTATCATGTCTGATTCATAGAACATGGCTGTTATGCTGTAGAATATTTTATAGTCTGGATTTCTGTGGCATTTGATGGATTAGTGTTCTTTATGGTTCAAAAGTGTGTGCATATGTTGGACTAAACATACGTATGTATACCATTTTCATGTTAACTTTTTGTTATGCCTTCCACAGACAAGCATACTCAAGTGAGATGATGAACAGGCATCTGATAATAAGATGAATAAAATGGGGAAACAAGCTTCGGTTAGCAAGATAATCGCACAAGTTTTTTTTTAGCAAATTGCCTCAAGCTCAGGGACTAACCCACAGCTTATGAAAATGGCTGAAATCTAGGATAAGAGATTTTCAGATCCAACAAGTGAAACTATACCTGTTCTAGACGTTCAATAGATGTATGGAATGTAGAATGTTTTTTATTGCTGTTTGTTACAGAACCTATCAAATTTGCTTCTCAAAACACCCTTTGAAACTGAAGGCCAAATGAAACATTGCAATTAATATGTCACACTATGAAAACTTAAGTTGCAGCCCAAGTAATCAGGAGGAGAATTCCAAGGAATCTTCTATTTCTTGTTACTTTTCTCCCCCTCCCTAAGTGAAGTCTCTTTCCTGGGAGGGGGTGATTTTTGGTGGGATGAAATCATGGACACCTATCACAATGGTAAGTGACAACTCTTTGCAGAGAGTGGCCACGTCAGTAAGGGACAATGGTGGAATCTTTTAATTCATTCTATTATAACTGTTCACTATGTTTTCACATAATTTCTGTAAATGTAATAGAAAGTCGTGCTTTCCAGTTGGAATCTCCAGACAAGTTTGTTTGTTTGTTTGTTTGTTTATCTCCTTTCCAGTTGAAATCTCCAGACAAGTTTGTTTATTTATTTATTTATTTATTAGATTTCTACCCCGCCCCCCTAGACAGTGTCTACTCGGGGTGGCTTACAAATGTACAAGTTTGGTTATTAAAATCACAACTGGATAATACAGTAAGTATTGTATTTATGTTTCTTAATACTAGGAACTTATTGTGAGGAATTAATAGATTTGACAGTTTAGTAAATATGGTATCATGTTATAATGTGAATATAAATTACAAAATCACGCAAAGCATGTCTTGAAACAATAATAGTTAGAAATTGGAATCTCTGTCCTTCGTTTCAGATGGAAGTATGTAGACTGAACCAAGTGCCTTAAGGATTAAGCTGCTTATTTGTAGCGTAGGAAATGCCTTCAGGGACTGGAAAAGGTGTCTGATTATGTGAAGAATGCCAGATAGCTGTTGCTGTGATTGCATTTACCAATGCATCTTCATGCTTCTTGTCGCTTCCTTACACTATCAAAGGGAACAGAACCAATCAATTTCTTCTATACCTACTTTAAGGAGTGATTGTGTATTATGCTGCTATTCACTGATTATTTGCGTCTATTTTCCTACTTGTTCTAAGTGTGTAATCAGCATAAAACTGTTATGCCTACCTGATGGAAGAGTGGTATCTCTAGCCAGTGGCCAGAAATACTTTGGAGAGCCAGAAGCAGTGCATGGTTACAATACTGATCTTACTAATCATTGGGAACTGAATTTAGAGATACAAATCCTTGCCAGAAGCAGTGCATGGTTACAATACTGCACTGATCTTACTAATCTTTGGGAACTGAATTTAGAGATACAAATCCTATTAATTAGGCCTTCTTGCATAAATGTAGCATTGTTATCTCTGATGGGTAGTTTTTGAGCAACACCCTTTATAAAGCCTTAGGGGCAGAGAGACTACCATCCCAAGCCATTTTCCTTCTCTTTCCGAGACAATGATGGTTTTGGAGTAGCATTGCTATCTCTGATGGGTAGTTTTTGAGCAACATCCTTTATAAAGCCTTAGGAGCAGAGAGACTGTCTCTTGGTGCTTTGCCATCCCAAGCCATTTTCTTTCTCTTTCCGAGACAATGATGGTTTTGGAGGCTCATGGAAGCCATTTGTGGTTAAGGAAAACAGCTCTATGGACCTTGGTGTTTGTGTGTCTGTTTTTGGATGCTATCTCTGATGGGTAGTTTTTGAGCAACATCCTTTATAAAGCCTTAGGAGCAGAGAGACTGTCTCTTGGTGCTTTGCCATCCCAAGCCATTTTCTTTCTCTTTCCGAGACAATGATGGTTTTGGAGGCTCATGGAAGCCATTTGTGGTTAAGGAAAACAGCTCTATGGACCTTGGTGTTTGTGTGTCTGTTTTTGGATGCATTTCCCAAAATGCTGGTTGTGGAAATTCCTGGTGAATTCTGGGAGTTGCATTGCAAAAAATCCGTAAGTCCAACACCTACCCATGAACTTTGCTGGGTAAACACAGCAGTGCTTTCCCCTCCAGGTCTGTTGCATACTCGCCGAAGCATGAGAACTAGAAGCAGCTAGGTTGTGTATTTGCTTGTGCACACATTCTCCATGTCCTTTACCTGTATAAATGTGCAGGTTCCTCTCCAAAGTGTGTAATGCTTAGGGTTGCTTTTGAAGAAATATTTTTGTAACAAATTATAGACGATTGTGGGCTGTTGTGTACTGAGTGAGGACATAGATTCCAATAATAAGTACTGTATGTCGTTTCTGGGGTGTTTAATTTTTCAGCCATTTAGGATATTGTGAAAGACAAGTAAGGAGCAACTAAACTATGGTTAAAATAAAATTCTTGTTATTTAAAAAATGTAAAGTTTCACAATGCAAAGGTTTTCGAAAAGGAATTCGGCATGGACTGTGTTCTTCGAGTTCCCTGTTGCTGTGATTGATGTCCGCTCCTGTATTGCTTGTGCAGCCAAGCCCTTGGATAAATGTAATGTATCCTAACTTCCTAAACCCTAGTGGTGCTGAGAATAGCGGAGTAAAAGTAGTGTATGTTATATGGAGTAACTTTTTAAGCCTCATCTTGAGCATTGAATAATACCAAATAATGAAAAAGCAATACTAAACTCTTGATGATCATAGAACTATGTGTTAAGCAATTCTAATTAATGTTTCTACTCAACACTGAGCTTCTAAATCATGCTTGTGTCACATAGCAGACTTGTAGCTGCTGAGGAGCGAATGCACAAATGTCCTATTTTGGATTAATGTTTAATCTCATTTTCCCACATTCCAAAAATAGTTGCTTGTGAACAATGGTAATTTTGCTCCCTAGCTACACTTCTAACATTTACTGGGTCACTCTGTCAAGACTAAATTAAACCCCATGTTCCAGCTGTCTAAAGCTGGCAAAAGCAGTGCTTTATTTAAGAGCCTTTCAGTGTGCCCTTAAAGTAGCTGCTGGAGTGGGGTATGGGTGTGAATCTTTACTCTCAGACCATTAAGAAGTAGACAAAGTTCACACTGTAATCTGAACTACTTTTTTCCACCTATGGAACAATGTCTCTTTAGGACCAGCCTTGTTTGCAGGACACCAGCTGCACTGTTTCAGTTGAATAGTAGATAGTCATAAAACAACAGAGTTCAGTCCTAGAAGCTAAGATGTAGCATCTAGGTTTTTCGGTTTAACACTGGAGAGTTTGCTTTTGGGGTATAGTGCTCAGAAAATATATTAACCAGCATAGCAGCTGTTGATGCTCCATGTGGATTCTGAGAGTTATTCTCTAAAAGAGTTTTAGTTTAGTTTTCAATTGATTGCATATGGATTATTCTTCTGAATGGCTGAATTCCCACTATCACATAACAGTCTAAAATAAGAATTTATGCATGGGGGTAGGAGCTCAACTAGGTGGTGTTGCAGTACCTTCCAACCCTACTGTTGTATGATCCTAAATAGAGATGGATGTAACGAGGGTCTGCCCCCTGGGGTCAGGCCACCCACTCATGTGTCCACTGCTGTGGCCGCCTCTGTTCTCCCTTCCAAATGATCCAGAGTTTGCGGTCGGCTATCCACCCCTGGCAGAAGAAGGGAAGACGGGTCTCCCTGCCAGGCTGACGAGTGGATAGCCGACTGCAAACTCCGGAACTATTGGGAGAGCGGAGGCAGTGGCGGCGGCGGCCACATGGGTGGATGGTCCGGCCCCAGGGGGCCAGCACTTCATTACATCTAGCTGTGCGGGGGTATTCATATTTGTATACAAATACCTCCATCTCTAATCATAAACAGTAAAATTAAGACATGAGTAAGTATGCCCTGCCTTAATTTATCTGAGAAGAACGTTGTATCTGTTTAGCTTCAGGAAATGAGAGTTAAGAGTGCAGGAAAGTATAATCAGTTCCACTTAAGACAGTGATTCCAAGTCTTGGGTCCCCAGAGTAAAAGTTCCAGAAATCCTGGGCAGCACAGGTAGGGGTGAAGACTTTTATGAGTTTTAGTCCAAGAACATCTGGGGACCCAAGGTTGGGAACCACTGACTTAAGGTGAAGTATTTAGAAGCAATGTTATGTATGAATTATCTTCTCTCACATGGCTGGCATTACTGAAGTAATTGTTGGGAAAACAGCAATCTTGCATGCAATCGAACCCTGGGTTTCAGTAGGAGAGAGCTTTCACAAACCAAGATGACTGCCTTCTGACATTAATAATTTACCTAAGTTATTTTTCCTGTCTCTTGCTTGCCTCCCCTCTTTTCCTGTTTGTTTGCTTTGTTTCCATTATTTGTTTGCTTTCTTTTCTGACCTCCATTGAAAGGAGACATTTAATTCTGTGCCTCTAACCTCAGACCATGGAAGTGTGTTGAGCCTCATTGTACACTTCAATGCCCATTTTTAAAAAGAATATTACAATTGAAGTATAACCATCATGGGGATGCCTGGAGGCCTAAACAATGGCAGATTACCTCAGTGCCCCTGGGGGTATAAGTGGGCTTTTCAGGAAATGGGGGTGTTGTGTAAGGTGCTGTTGTGCCCCAAGGGTGCTGAGATGGCCCTACATGTTGCCCACTCCTGCTGTATTTGGTTTTATATTTTCATGCTTTGGTTGACTCATTCTTAGTTTATGTGAAAATATTATATGCTTCCTTGAGTGGTCATTTTGTCTGTATGTAAACAAAAACATACTGTTAAATATGCCAGTCTTGTCATACTTTGCAGCAAAGAAGCAAAACATTATGCTTTGCAAGTAATGAAATCTGTTTTCCCACTTAGTGTTTCACTGTGCTTCCCTCTGCTGGAGGACAAATTGACTTAACCTTTTTGTAGTATTTATTTCAAAAAAACTGACATTGCTCAATAGTATTTGGTGACATTCTGTGGCCCTTGTTATCTGACTGCAGTCATCTCTAAGTCTCCAAAATCATTGCTTTTACTTGTCTTTTTAGGGTGAAGGAGGTCTGAGTTTCAGTTGCAGCATGTAACATTATTTTTTAAGCCACCTGTTACTCAGTGTGGGATGTTTTTGGGGTGGGCAGTAGGTAATAAATGTTGCTTATTACTCAAGGAGCAACCCTTTACCAGCATATTGGTTCTAGTGTGTGTGTTTTTAATTGAAAATAGTCCCCAAATGATACCCCAGAAACAAAATTTCAGGAGTAACATTTTTGGTACAAGAGAATCACTTACTACCCACTACTAGATTTTAATAAAATGAGCAAAATTCTATTCTAATTGTCCACCAAAATAATGTGCTGCAGGTGCTGCCTGCATTTGTACTGCATGACTTCTAAGTTTGGTGCCTCATTGGTGCTCGATGCAGCAAACTGTGCAGTCTTGCATAAATATTGGGATGAATAGGCCATATGGCGTTGTCCCTTGTGGACCATGCACAGCATCTTTACATTGAGATGCAGTGTTGGAGAGGTGGAAGACACGCTGTTGCAGCTGAGGATCTTGATATATTTTCTCCTTACCAGCAAAAGCAAATGGGCAAGTTTTCTCTCCGGCTATGTGATCATGATGGTTCTGGAGATGTAATTGTACATTAATGTTGTACATGGATGCATTATTTCATTCAGCCTTTAATCATTTTGATGCAACCATTTTCTGGAATATATGATTACAGGTTTACTATGTTATCAAACTTTTGTTTTAACCTGGTAGCTAACTGCTTGCATCTTTTTTTCTTTTGGCAGACTCAAAATGCCAAACTGGGGAGGAGGAAACAAGTGTGGTGCCTGTGGTAGGACAGTATACCATGCAGAAGAGGTTCAGTGTGATGGAAGAAGTTTCCATCGCTGCTGCTTTCTTTGCAGTAAGTACTCCTGGTGTTCTTCTCAATCAAATGCCAGTGTCTGAGCAGTAAGAGTCATAATCTATAACATAAGTGTGCTACTGGTTTCTATAGGTGGACAGTAATCTTATGGTCAGAGTCCAGAATAGTATGTGACACCATATTACAGGCTGCATGCCTGGGTTCTATGTGTCTGCTATTTATAAGAACTGTGGAGTAATTTCAGCAGTTAGTCCTAACTAGAATTCATCTATTGAATCAACATAAATGCAGGCTGAGCAAGTCCTAGTCATTTGGTGGGTCTGCATTCCTTATAGTAGATTCCCAGTATGGTGAAGTGGTTAGAGAACTGGTTCTTAACCTTGAGTTACTCAGGAGTTTTGGACTGCAACTCCCAGAAGCCTTCACCACCAGCTGTGCTGACTGGGGTTTCTGGGAGTTGCAGTTCAAAAGCATCCGAGTAACAAAGGTTAAGAACCACTGGGTTAGAGCGATGGACTAGAACTCTGGAGAACAGGGTTCAAATCCCTGCTCAGTTGTGGAAACTCATTGGGAGTGTGAAACAGGTAAAACCACTCCTTAAATAAGCCCTGTTAGGGTCACTATGAATTGGTTCTGACTTGACAGCACAGAACACACACACTTCTTAGAAGTAATAACAGGAATGAATGTCTTTTTTCCAGTGCCAGGCAGGAAGGGAAGCACTTTAACTTCTGTAACGGTAGGATGTAGACCTCCTTTTACTTTGAGTAACTGAGCTTTTTAACAACTACAGCTGTTCTATACCTTTGGGGAGCATTGAACCAACTTAGCACTGAAGTTATTAAAAGGATGATAAGTCAGGTCACAGTTTCTGCAAATGATACACCAGGTTCTCCCTTTCATTCATGTGAGTCACTTTAGAGTTTTAAAAAATCTGCATTTCAGTTGGCTCAGTTCTGAACTTCTCTAAAATGTAGTATAACAAAATGCAGCAGAATGTCAGTTACCCTGCTATAAGCTGCTCGAGCAGTTTATAATGTAGGAATCATTTTGTGAGAAATTATTCACCAGTTGGCTGCATTCCCATGCAAGTTAATTAAATAATCTGGTTGATTTGTGTTTGAGCACACTGGAGCCAAAATTCTGTTGGGCTTTGGCACAGATGTCTTTGGATTGTCGTAAATGAGCAGAGTCCATGTGATTATGTTTTGACCTCACAGTTTACTGAAGCATTGCATTTCTGTACTAAAAAACTTAATTATTAGACGATACTAAGCAAAGTACCATATAATTGCTTAGTGATGGAACTGCCACAAAGAACAGCAGTGTCATATGATTCAAACGCAACATTAAATCCACAATCCACACATTGTAGGACCAACTGAACTTCCACAATGGTGTGTAAGCGTTTAGTCTCTAGAGCACTTATCACTTTAGGTGGTTTTTAAAAAGGAGGGTGGGAGAAATATGGAAATTAATAATAATAGATGAAGGTAATATGTCTTAAGCCTCGAAGTCTACAGTTAAAGTAAGTCCAAAGATAAAAAAATCTTGATGAATCCTTGTTAGATGCGCAGGGGTATTTTGTGACCCCTAGCAATACCTTTTAGTGCTTACAGATAAAAATATAGCTTGTGTAAGCTCATATACGAGTTCACAAATGATTGAGGGATCAGTAGAATTTCCAGTAACTTCACATCAGAAGCTGGGCAGGGAAGTTACAATAACTATCAAATGTAACATCATCCTAAGCAATACTATTTGCATATATTTAAAGTGGAGTCGCATCTGTGTTTATATTCATAATTTTATCTAATCTGATTCATTTGCAGTCCAAATTATGAGTGGATCTAATTTTTATTAGTTAGATTAGGTCAGTATCCAGCAATGTGTATCTGCCAAAATGAATAACACTGTGTTCAAAGTCACAGTGTAGGCATTATCTTGAAATAGGTATTATGAATATGCAGTTGTGTGTGTAGGAGAGTGCCATGGAATTTTCCAGGAATGCTTGGACAAAAAACAGTCTCAACTTTCTTTTTCATTAATGGTGAAATTCCTGGTCTTATTTTTAGACAACAAAGCTAGCAACCTAAAATGGTAAAAAAGAAAGAAAGAAAGAAAAGTTCTTAATAGTATTCCAGAACATGGATTTAAGTTGATATAATGTTTCCATTATTATCTTGTGCTAAATGTTAGTACAGTAGCTGATTTTGTGATTTATGATATCTGTATTTATGAATACTTTGCAAAATACAAGTAGGTTTAGGAAGTGTTGCATAATTAAACATGTTGGCAAGAGTATAGGTTCTTTTTCTGTGTGGTTTTTAAGAAGCAAGAGGAAAAATTGCTGACCTCAGTTCCTGGCTTCTTTATAACCTCACTAATTAAACTGCATCAAGTTTCCATTCTATGAATGTTAGCCATGAAAGAGAAAGAAAGGAACAAAATGTAATTCAGTAAGACAAAAAAACAGTCCCCTCTTTAATCTTATACAGTTTACTGAGAACTGCCACAGGCAAGGCAAGAGAAGTGAGAACATCTGGCACTTGAGGTTTCTTTCTGTTGTTAACAGACATCTGTAAAAGAGTTACTTTTAAAAGCAAAACTTTCTCTCCAGTGGTTTGCCGGAAGAACTTAGACAGCACAACAGTAGCCATTCACAATGAAGAGATATACTGCAAGTCTTGCTATGGAAAGAAATATGGCCCCAAAGGGTACGGATATGGCCAAGGAGCAGGCACTCTTAATATGGACCGAGGGGAACGGCTTGGCATCAGGCATGACAAGTAAGTAGAACATTTTTTTCACTCTGAGCTAGATGAAGTGCAATAGACAGGCTGAAATAGTTGCCTCTGAGGGTTTCCTGAACTATATTATGGGCTGGCATATTATGAATTTTGGCATATTATGAATGTTGGCATTTCAGAGCCACATATAGTAAATTTGTACTCTTTTGTAGGTGAACCTCAGTGACTTGAGGTTTGTGTTTACGGTCTTTGTCATTCTTCAAACTAAGGAGTACAGTAATATGAAAACCGGTTGCTTCCAAATACTATGAAATTGCAGGTTCCATATGAATGGAGGCATAGAAGTAGGAAATTACACGAATACTCTTGTGCATGTTCAGTGGGGCAGCCAGCATATGATCATAGAATCAGGGTGGATTTGATTTAAATCAAATTGATTTAAAGCACGGTTTAAATCTAAAACAGTGGATTTTTGGATGATTTCAAACAAAAATCTATTTTTTATTTAAATGATTTTTTAAAAAAATCATTGGTTTTTATCTACTCTGCATAGAGTAGGTAAACAGTTTGGGGCCTATATCAAGGTCCCAAACTGTTTAGGGCCTTGTAGGTTAACCTCATCACCTTAAAGCTCACATGGAAATAAACAGGAAGCCAATGCAAGGCAGACAGAATGGGGGAGATCTGGTGGTATTTTTTACTTCCCACAACAATATGGCCTCCATATTTTGGACATGCTGAACTTTCCATAGCAGCCTCATAGGCAGCCCCATGTAGAGCATTACAATTATTATTGAGCCTACCAGTACATGAACTAGTGTGGTGAGGGACCTGGCATAAAGATAGGGAAGCAACTTGTAACTGTGTTTGATTTCTTTTTCTTAGGTGTAGAACTTCACACTTTATTTTTTACTTCACCCTGTTATTTTTTCCTGTTTTCAACCTAGTGCATAAACCTATCAAGAACTCTTTGAGTTTTGTTTGTCTTCCAAGGTATTAGCTTCTAAACTAGTATGGCACCAAGCCAGTGGTTTCTGCTGAGAGCCTTAATCCCAGCGTCACAAGACATTCAGGAAGAGTATAAACCCCTGAAAGCTGACAAAGGGCCATAGCAATGATCACATAGTAAGGTGTCCACTCTTGCTTACAGGGCACTGCACCCATCTTAGAATGTCATAGACATGTTGGAAGGTTTGGCATACCATTGCTCTGTATGAAATACAACTCTAACTGCAGGCATAACAAGCTGTAGATAAAAGCTAAATGGGTTCATAGAATTGTCATTTAAGACTCCTGAAATCATTGAAGAAATGTATTGTAGACAACTGGGATGCTCTGTGTTGTAAAGAAATCATGCACATTAGTTTTTCTATACATTTTCAAACATGGCTACAATTATGAGTGCTAAGGTGACACTCAACAATGTTGGCCAGAGTATGGTAGGATTGAATTATAATAAGCAATGCCATGTATCAGATTTGCCTCAATGAGGGTCCAACATTCTAAAATGTTAAGATGTTCAGTACCTTGACCCATTGCCCACTTTAGATAAATTGGTCTCTTGGCAACTGGAATGGATGGATGGATTTGCTGGCACTGTGTTCCGACTCAGTTGACCTCTGAATTAAAGTGTGGCTAGGAAGTCTGGCTTTTTTCACATGTTTAGACTTGTATGCCACATATTCATTGTATAATAGAACTTACGTTTCTGCTGTTCAGAGACAAGGTTAGGCAACTGGGGGCAGAAATTACCAAGTTAAATGCTTCATGCATAGAAACAAAGCACCACTGAGAGTTTAAGAACATTTGTTCTTTCAGTGAGATTTTTCTCTTGGCTTACTTTTGTTTGGTAAGTATTTGTCTGAAGAATAGGATTCATTTTACAGTTGATTGTGCAAAAGATGTCTTTGGAGGGACAATGTTTTATTGCCTTCTAATTGTGAAGCTATTGGGCTTTTTTCTGGAATGGTGGCACTTCGTCTTTACCCTGTGGAAGTTAGAACAAAATCAGTGCAACAGAATATTCAGACTACATCTTTTCATTTTAGCACACCTTCTCATCGACCGACAACAAGTCCAAATACTTCAAAGTTTGCCCAGAAGTTTGGAGGAACAGAAAAATGTTCCAGATGTGGTGATTCTGTATATGCAGCTGAGAAAGTAATAGGAGCTGGGAAGGTAAAGGCCCCTTGTTCCAAATACCTTGCTTAGCAATATTGACCTCACAGATTAATTGTAGGTTTGGATTTTGACTTCGTAGAATAGGGTGGTTGGTAGAGATAGGGTGAAAATTGGCACCACATGTACATGGGGAAACCACCAGAACTAGCCAGTCCACTTACGGCTTGCTGCACGGTGCGCACAGCCATTGTCATTTGAATTGCACCAATTGCTGAAGTAGCCTGGCTGGTGCTTACCCGCCTCTTCACACAGCCAGCCACTCTTCAAAGAGGCAGAATGACAAGTCCCTCCATTCAGCAGTTGAGCAGTCAGCTGTGTGAAGAGACAGGGAAGTGCTGGCCTGGCTATTTCCACAATTGGTGTGCCATGAATGATGATGGTCACATGTGTGCACCACACAGTGAGTAGTAAGTGGATTGGTTGGTTCTGGGGGGAGGGTCTAGTTTCCCCAGGCACCTGTGGTGCTGATATTTGTATTTGTATCCATTTCTAGCAGATGGTTCTCATAAGCTGTTAATTTTTGAGAGGAAAAGAGTTCTGCCTCTGGTGATGGTCATCAAATCTATTTTCTCAAATATATTTTGTATGAGTGCTGCTTAATAATGGATCAGCCTAATATAAAATAAAAGATTGGTCTATGAATATTGATTTTTGCAGATGTATTAGCTCTTTAGAGTGACTCTTTGGATTGTGCAGTACAGAAGTTTGAAATAACCTGCTCTTTTTTCTAGCCTTGGCACAAGAACTGTTTTCGATGTGCCAAGTGTGGGAAGAGCCTTGAATCAACTACTTTGACAGAAAAGGAAGGCGAAATCTATTGCAAAGGTAAGATGAAGGTAAAGTTGCAGGTTTAACTGTAGGACAGGAAGGGAGAAGCAAATAGCTTAAAGTAGGGATGGGCAATAGGACAGGAGCTTTGATTGCTATTCCTAGAATTTGGCCAAATTCGGGAAGATGCAGCCAAAACCTGACATTAACAGAGCAGCTTTGGTTACTGGCACATGGGCCTCTGCTGCTGCTACTGTTAGCCTTTCAAGAAGGAAACTGCTCTGGCCCTGATTGGGACTGGCAGGAATCTATGAGAATTGCAAGGATTCATGTGATGGATTGTTCCTAGAGTGGCTCCTTCAGCAGAGCCTAATGAGCAGTAAAATTCCATCCCACTCAACCTAGTTATCCCCATCTTCTGCTGGGGCACTCATCATCCTCTTGAAAGGTGAAAAATTTATTGTATTTATTTATTATTTATTTATTTACTGAGCTTACATGCCACCCATTTAGACATAGTCTACTCTGGGCTGCTCACAAATGCGTAATAAAAACAATTAACACAAAGTAACGGTTTCGTACATTAACACAAAACAGAATAGATAAAGATAAAAAAATGGCAACAGAGGCCTATGTGTAGATAATGAAAGCTGCTCTGCAAACTTCTGTTTGTTTGCACCTCCCAGAGGTCTGCCTATGGGAGTTCTGGGCCACTTCTGGGAGTTGCAGTCCACAAAATGTGACAGTCCCACTCCTAGTGGGAGAGATGTGGCCGCCTGGGTGATTTTGGGCTGCAGTTCCCATAATCCCTTACCATTGGCTATGTTCTTTAGGGCTGATGGGAGGTTAAGGTTAAAAAAAAAACTGAAGGGTCTCAGTATCCCTAAAAGTGTTTATTCAACAGCTTTGCTTCTAGTGGGTTTCAAACATTAATGTAAGATTCAGTGTATTTTTAACTAAACAAATCACAATTGTGCCTGGTCAAAGGAAGCAATTGTAGTAGCAGTGTCATCTTTTCAGAAGTGCTTTTTAGGTGTAAAGCAGCAGTTAGTCTCTAGATTATGTCTCATCGGGGGATTTTATTTTCATGTTTTGAAGTCTGCTCACTTTAGTGTCTGATTTTACCAAAGACCAAGACAGGCACCATGGGATTTAACTAATAGCTTACTCTTTATTCTTGCAGGTTGTTATGCAAAGAACTTTGGCCCGAAAGGATTTGGCTATGGCCAGGGAGCTGGAGCTCTTGTTCATGCCCAATGATTTATTAGTACTATTGGCCCAAGCTGATTCTGTAGTTACAACATACAACTTAAATGCTACTAATTACTGTGAAACTGATTGTGCTATTTCTTTAAAGTACTACATATTTCTAAGCCTTACAGCACACTTTTATATGCACTGTTGAATGATTTGAGGATTTTTTTTTAAATAAAGAAGATGAATGTGTGTTGACAGGTTTGGAGAAAATTCTTCAGTTTCCACTGCCTACAGAACTACAACAGCATGTTGTTTTTCCCCAAGGCATTTGTGTGTGGTATGAAAATGCTGGCTGCCTAAACAAAAGACTTCATGATCTCATGGGGAAATGTGTTAATCCACCATAGGGTACCCAAATGGAGTGTTCCTTACAAGAGGTACATGACTTCAGCAGACAGTTCTGTCTTACAGGGATGTAATTTCAGTTGCAGGCAAAAGATGCATTTGCACCATTCTGTGCAGTGGGCACATGGGTCTCTCTGCACAGACACATACTGTACAGTGAAAGACATGTGCCTTAGGCAGCTGTAACTTTCAAGTACAGTTCTCGGGCATTTTAAGTGAGATGGTCCTTTGACAAGACTGAAGAATGCAAACATGATTCCTATTTGGTTCTAAGTTAACTTCTGGCACTCAGAAGTGAAGTATCTGCCCTTAGTACCAAACTGTATGTTTCGAACATTCACACTATACTCCTTTGGATTTTAGTACCACTTGAGGCTGCAGAGGGACACATAAGTTGCATCAAAGCATTAGGAGCCAGCATTAGCTTTCGCTAACAGGGGACACTGGGTGAAATTCTGTTGCTTCGTGTAGCAAGTTGCACTGGAACAGGCCCATTGAATCTATGGGGACCTCATGACTCAACTCCTCTAAGTTTCACAGATTCAATGTGCCTATTCTAGTTGCAACTTCCTATGTTAAAGTAAGTCGCAACTAGGTAGGCAGCAGATCTCGGTCAATGAAATAGAAGACCTAGGCTGTTCTGTGGCTTGAAGTACTGAACCCCTGGGAAGGATTTTACCATTTGATAGCATTTTTTTGTTTCTGGGTTTTGTGATACATGAGACTAATAAACAAAATCATACAAACATTAAGTTCAGATAACATTTTAGCTGTGTCTTATGAGTTGTCTTCAGTCACTTGTATGTTGCAGATGTAAGGTTTTAGACAAGGGGTTTGCCAGAATGAGTACTGCATACAATTGGCTGTACTGGTACATGGATGTTTATATGTGAAATAAATGATACCACACTGTTAAATAGTCTTTATTTCACTTATACTTTATCTTGATGATTTTAAGGTTAATGCTGTTGGTGTCATAGCATGCCAATTCTTGTAAGGTGTCCCAAAACATTGACCAGAATACTACTTGTGTGGCAAACTGAGGACATGCCAAGGTACACCTTGATGCATGTGTGGTCACATGCCACACTGTGCAACCAAGATGCAACCTGGTGCATTGTCAGTTATTTGCAGCAGGTTGTGGGAACCTTAAACATACATACATAGAGTTCTGGCAGTGGTGGCATAGTTTGTACTGTACATTATAGTAATATCCTACACTACAGCCATTCTGGCTGGCAACATTAGGCTGAGTTCTTGAGGTGGTGAACCTTTTCATCCCAATTCTCAGATGTGTAAGCCAGTACTCCCATTTTATGAATTGCGGAAGCTGTCATCCAAAATGTTGGGAAGGTCCTTCCTTTGTATGTAATTAGAAGAGTCACACAGAATTCCATTACCCATGCCCTTAGCACAAAGTTGTTATTTTAGTGTTTCCCTTTGATCATCTACTCTTATTTGTTGTGCTACCTTTGTTTTCTTTCTGGTGCTGACTGAATTGGTGATTCATCCATACATTCAATATAGCATACTGACTCTTTAGCTTTGCTGTACATGTACCTTCTCAAAAGCAATCAGCAACACTTGTTGCTTATTGCTCTCAATATAGTTAGTGAGTGAAATGTATTCAGTTATGTTTCTGCAACCAGTTTGTACACTGGTCTTGAAAAGTCCACTATTCTCTTTTAGAAGAGCTTCTCAAGGCTCTGTAACATGGAGTCTTCACAGTGTCCTCCAGCTCAGCTGTTCTCAACCTTTTTTTGTCCACAGACATAAACACAATATGAAAGAAAAACAGGCTGAATCAGGATTGTGCATGTTGCATAATAAACTTTATAAAGTGGTGTGTGAAGAATTGTTTCCAGTCTGTGGCTCCCTTCAGATGTGTCAAGGACCCCTAGGGTGCCATACAGCTCCCATTGACAATGGCTGCTCTAGCCCATACCAAAGTAATCTTTCCGTGCTACATGTGTGCATGCAGTGTTAAATTCAGCATTGAATTTTTTTCTAAACTTGGCTATGCCAGTGTATGTCATACAAAGATTGGTAAGCAAGCTATGGTTTAGAATTTAAAGGAACAGTTTTGCATTGACTCCCACCCATGTGCACCCCTGAAAATCAGGTCATCAGGGGCCCTCCTGAAACAAGTAGAGCAGGAAAAGGCATGAAATCAACCTTCCATGACAATTACAGGGATGGATGGATGGATATGCATAGCCAACTCTGAAGGATGGTGGGAATTGCAAAAAGATGGAGAGCCATAAGTCACCCATTAGTGTTGAAAGACAGTGACCTTGGAAGTATTTTCCTGTAATTGTTTCTTGTCCCTGAATTCGAGGGAAAGGAGTCGGAGCTCTTGCAGAGACATGAGCCCAATATGTGTAGTCCTTTCCCAGGTTAGAAATGCTAAGATGGAGCTCCAGTGGTCTGTTTGAGCATAACAAACAAAACAAAACAAAACAAAAATCCTGTGGCACCTTCAGGATACTTATTTTAGCCTAAGTGCTGTAGTCTGTTGTCCACTTTCTTAGATGCATACAGTAAATCAGATTAATCAAGTGTACATATGTTTGATGAAGGGGATTATAATCTACATGGTTTGTGCTAAAGTAACTCTTAAAGGTAGCATAGGTTTCATTTTCCCCCTTTAATACAGAACATCCAAAGTTACTTTTCTTTTTTAAAAAAATTGCCTTTACTTGAATTTTACTTCCTTGCTACTTTATTATTTTGAGCTGGGGGAGAAAATCTGTAGTTTAAAATTTTGGAGGGAGTGGGATCTTCAAAGCTCTCCAAAGAAAAAGTAATGGAAACTTTATTAAATGTACTTCAGAGTTACTTCCATGCTCTGAATATGCCACTGTAAATTATAGGATACTTTTTTTGGTAATAATTTTGTGATTGACACCCTTCACAGTGTTATCACCATTTATCTCTCTGTTCTTTCACTTTAAAAAAAAATTAGAGGCTTTCAACTAATAGGGACTTGGCATTCACATTTTGTTGATAATGGTTATGTAAGCCATGGGTAATTCTGAACTGCATTTTGTTCCAAGTCTGAAGGGCATGATGTCATTAAATATCAGATGAAACAAAAGTGTATGGAGCATGCATGTTTTAGCAATGATTAGACTGCCAATGAAATGAGTTCATTTCTCCTTTCAAAGCCAATTTTTTGAACAGGAGAAATCTTACAAGGACATCCAAATCACAGTGTTGTTCTTTAAATCAACTGAGTCAGACACCTATGTAGTTACCTAACAAGTGAACTTGAGTTTAGCAGTGGAACCAAACATGACCATAACTATAGAAAAAAACACAACAGGATGATTCAATTTGAAGGTATTACCAATGCCTTACTGTTCAGTAAACTGAGCTACGAGTAGGATATCGTTTAAGCTTATTCTATAACTCCTTACTTTCACAGCAAGGTTGTAGAGTACTGGGTGAAGACAAAAAGAAAAGCGAAAATGTAAATCGTGGGATCCATAGCATTGGATTACTACTGCAATATGGCAGGACTGCCTCAAATGTGCTAATTTGAAGCATAGAAACATGCTCCTTCAAGTGAATGTTCAGTTGAGCAAACATATTAGGCATACCATACCTTTATAAAAATCAGTTATACATGTATATAATGTGTAAGGTTTAAAGTTTTTCTATAATGAAAAAAAATGGAAAGACGGGAGAAGGCACAGAAATCCAATACAGTGGTGCCTCGCATTACAACGTTAATTCGTTCCAGCGAAATCGCTGTAGAACGAAAACATTGTAATGCGAAAATAAAAAGCCCATTGAAACCCCTCCAATGCGTTCCAATGGGTTGGAAAGTCTCCGTCCAGCGAAGATCCTCCATAGGGCGGCCATTTTCGGTGGCTGTCTTGCAAGGAATCCATCCCAGAAAACAGTGGGGAGCCATTTTATTTACCCGGTGGCCATTTTGAAACTGTCGATCAGCTGTAGAAAAATCGTCGTTTTGTGAAGAATCGGTTCCTGAAGCAGGGAACCGATCCTTGCAAAGTGAAACAAGCCCATTTAGATCATCGTTTTGCGGTCGTCGTAATGCGATTTTGTCGTAATGTGGGGCAATCGTAATGCGAAGCACCACTGTATATGGCTAGGTATTTCAAGCCACTGAAGAACTGCAGAAATCTGGGTTTTTCTTTGCAGTGAAGGGCAGTGTCCATCTCATTTCCTTTCCTTCGCAACATCTGCAGGGTTTGCTGACTTTTCAACTACCCCACCAGTCCTGCATAGCTTGAAACACCCAACCTGGTACTGACTTCCATGTCTGAGATAAAACCTCAGCAGTAGCAAAAAAGAACAGGCAATCGCCAGGATGAGTTGACTATGTGCACTGGGGGCGGTCCTGGCAAATGTGTGCTAAAGCTCTAGAATCTTCCGGAAACCTCAGCGCAAGCACAGAATAAACCGTATGGTGTGCACTCAGAGACCATGAAGAATATACTTTCATAACCATGTTAATAATAGAGACAGACCATTCTGCTTGAAAGTTAACCCAAATCATTCCATGTACATGAGGTAGTGGATTGTAATCCATAGTGACATTGAAATAAATCTGTTAGTCTTTAAGGTGCCACAATACATTTGTTTTGCATGCTGAAGCAGACTAACATGGCGATTCTGTCAGATCAGGGAGTCTGATGCCCTAACCTCTCCCTAACAGTCCTACAGTCCTACAGAACTTTATAGACCAATAAAAGCAGCTTACTCTGCCTGTATTTTGAACCTTCCAAGATGATTCAGATGCACATGGTCTCCATTTCTTTCTTCTCTGCAGAAAGGTGCTGAGCTTTAGAGACGAGATATTTGAATTTTCTAGACTACAAATACCACAGTTCTCCATTCTGGGAGGTCTACCTACATATACCTTACAACTCCTAAATGTGATACACCTTACAGAAAGACCTAAATTGAAGGCTTTGGGGTTTAGTTAGGCCTACTTTTGTCCAAACTCCTTGCTCTTGCCCTGGTGTTATCTGGGAACTTTCCTTCTGAACAGGAAGCCTGGGCAGATCTAAGCCTAGTTAAGCCTCAGAGTCATCCAACATAGGCCCTTCTCCCAGAAACATCACATTTAGGTGTTTGTAACGTGTGTAAGGAAGGCAGAACTCCCAGAGTGGGGAATCTAGTTCAGAAAATTATTTATTTAATATTTATTTAAAATATTTTTACCCTGCCTTTCTCAACAGGACCTGAGATGAGATGCAAAAATCTCATCCCTGATATGCTTTCTTAGTTACTGCAGATATTGAAACAAGTTTTCCTTTTTAAAGGGGGGGGGGCTCCTAATGCGTGGAGAAGAACTTTCTAGTGACCTTGACAACTGTGAGAAGTAGGAAGAATGAACAGAAAAACTCCAAAACACAGGACACATACTAGGATCTAGGAGACAAGAATTTATTGATTAATAACTTACAAAAATTGACAGGTTTAATTTATTTAAGGAGAGCTATTTTATTAAACATTTTACAGATTTTGTTCACAACGTAATACATCAATATCCTGACAGTAGTAAAATAATACTTGGCACAATTATAAATAAAGTAAATAAAAAAATCAAAATTTCAGTTTAAAACAGAGATGTTCTTTATGCAGATTAACTGCTAAAAACAAAACCTTAGGAGGAATTATTAAACACTTGCCAAAAATATACAGGGTAGACAGAATTTTTTAATTTGCCTTTTCTTTATCATATCAACAAATGTTTAACTTCTTATCTATTTGAATTGGGTTCATGCAGCGAACTAAATGATGTGCTGCAAAAGGTTTGACAGATTTCTTGGTGGAAAAAACCTGCATGATTTTCTGCTTATTCAGATTTCAGAACATATACTTTAGTATTTCTGCCAACTAGTAGACTTACTCTAGGTGCCCCAAAATAAAATGTCCTTACATGTAATTTTAACTCCACTGTTCTACTGTTTCGTCACTATTTCTGTGGGGTGCAATTGTGGGTTGGATTGTGGTTTAGGTACAGGCAACTGGGATAACAGAGGTGGACTTCTTTGTGCCTAAACCCCAATGAAATGTTATGTAGGACCTTCTACATGGGGTGATCTGGGATATGGAGGGGAGAAAATATCCAAACCTTAGGTGGAACAATCTTCTGGTAGCAGATCTTAGATCAAACGCTTTTAGTTCAACTAAAATAGGATTTTTCTTGCCACCACAGAGACATTTAAATTATAGGGTTTCTGCACAAAGATTCCATACGGTACACATTTCTGGAACAGGCACAATTAATACAAGTGAACAATATATAGATTTTTCTGGAGCCATGAAATGTATTTACTACATTGCAGAGGGCTTTGAGACTTCAGTGCTAAGCAAACTTATTGAAGTTTACTTCCGAATAAATCTACTTAGGAGTGGGCTGTTAATGTAAATAAGAAATTGAAGGTCCTGCCCAAACATTTTCAGCTTTCAAATTAAAGTGACAAGTAACTGTGTAAGAATAATATATTGTTATATTTTCATACTGTATCTGCCTAAATCACACAGACATTTTTGCCATCCCTGCACCCACCCACCTTCACTTTCTTTGCTTTGAACATCTATGTCAATGATACAGTTGCATTTATTCCAGTAATAAACATTCAAGTTATGCTAATGTCACACTCCTGTAAATCTTGATATCTGGTACTTGCAAACTATGCACACCTAGCATTCAAAGAAAGAGCTAGAGGGGGAAAATGTCTACTTGCAAATACTGAACATCAACTATTTACAGTCTCACTGCTCCTTTTACTAAGGCAAGGGGCGGGAATACCACTAGATTGCTTTAATACCTGTAATCTGCATTTTACAGGAAATGCTAGTTTTGCCAAGCATTAAACATGCAGTGAAGTTGCAGGTATAGTGTCTATTAACAGCGATATTGATAATTAATAAAAAGCCCATTAGATATTGTCCTACATTTTTGGTTGGATAAAATGAAATGAGCAGCTTTTAAATATACTAACACACACGCACGCGCGCGCACACACACACACGCCTCATCACAAAGAGAAACTATTTGATAAATTATCTATATACAGATAAAACATTCTTTACACTGGTCTCTACTGTCTGTATTAAAGTTCCCTTCCCCAAATCCCCCTCACAGGATTCTCGAACCACAATGTTGCTACAGCACGTAAAACAGAACTAAACAGATTTCAAGTCTCTCTGTAAACAATAATTAAGGAAGCAGTGAAAAATTCACAAGGACTGTATAAAAAATGCCATAACAGAAAATCAGTGCATCACATTCAACAACAAAAAAAGCTCTTCTGGAATGAGACTTCATACCACTTTTTACCTTCCACCTATATCTGGGTTTGCTAACTTTAGACAAAAAAAAGTTAAGAATTTTTCCCCAACTTATGGCCATACCATTTTTTTAAAATAGAAGTCCAGTTACATTTGTCACTTTCATGTCCTACAAAGAAATTATAATCAGCATGAATTCCATCATTTTATATTATGTTTTAATGAGTTTTTACTCATTCAACAGCTGAATCGGATTCAGTTACAATCCTTTCTTCCTACTATTGAGCATCTGCCAGTTCATTCTTTGGTTCCACATATGTGACTTTCTTACTAATGTTTTCCAACTTTCCATTGACTGCAGAAGTTGTCATACTCAATGGTTCCTTCTATTTAGGTACCAGCATTTCACTGGCTGCCTTATATTAGCATTTTACTTTGTAGACTGCTATGCAATCATGTTATTTTGTGGTCTAATTTTAAGAAGTATCATCATGCACTTAAGTGGGGTTCTATATTGGGGTTGAAGAACTGAATTTCCTTTGTGCAATGCTTTTCCTCCTGCCCCAAATGTACATCTCCACATAAGTCTGGTAACAAATAACAATTAGAAATAACAAAGCCCTAAGAGCAGACAGCGATTGAATTTAGGTAAGTTTTATGACCAAAGTCCTTCTGTGCCCTCCTTCAGCAACGGCAACATCACACTTATGGTGAATCCCATATAAAACAACGTGATTCTTCACAGTATTAAGTGCACATTTTTGAATGCACCTAATACTATACCAAATCTATACAAAATTTCCATTACAGTAAATATAATACAGTGATCCCAAAGTCTTACTGCTTCGTAATATTTACCTTTAATTCTTAGGAAGCTGTTCAAATGATGAAATAAATACTGAAAGTTCAGTACAACATGACATTAGTATAGTTGGCCTTTTCTTTAAACAATCACATGCTCCATTGTGAAAGCAGTTAAAGGAAACAAAATGATGTATGTCTTCGTGAACAATTCCCAAGGTAAGAACAGTTAAAATCCCTTTTTCATCTTCCTTCTCGTTATCAGGATTGGCAGTTTATTCTGTCCTTTTTTCCAACATCTGTTAATAAAACTGATGTAGAGAAGGTACCATATGATTCGCTGTTAGCTCTATTCATAGCATGCTACCGTTCAAGGGATTTGAGAGACAAATTTTCAGGCACCACTCAGATATGATATGCTCACAGCTTGGAGGTGGGTGTTACACTAGCTGGTAACCTGTCCCGGATGTTTGGTCATACTCTATTGTATACTGCCTTGTCCAGTCCACAATAGCAGGACGAAAAAGACCACAGCATCTGAATTCAAAGAAGTCTATAATATTTCTTATACATCCATGGCTGAAACACAAGAACAAAAGCAAACAGTTACAGAAATACCTCGTATTACAATTTGGCAAGTACAAAAACACCAGGATGCATTAATTTAGGGCTGCATGCTCCACACTACTATAATAGAAGATGGGGTGCCCTTTCCCTGCAAGTTTTTTCTTAAACAAAACCATATGAGGAGATTTGTATATTTTTGAGAGACAAGGCAAACCATAAACATTGATCAGTTTTATACCGCTCTTATTTCATGTACCTGGCCATCTGCATCAACACATATTTTCAAATGTTTATTCCTACATATACGTACTTAAAAGGGCTCTCAATAGATGTTGTTGTAACTTTAAAGTGCTTATATCGTCTTGCATTCATCCTTTCATTTGTAGTAATACCTAAACAAGAAATCTGTGGGAGATGGAGAAAATCAGGCAACTATTTAGAATTTTGCAGTTATCACATATAAACCTTCTAAAGATAATGTTTCAAATATTTATTTTTCTGCTTTAGGGATGCATTTTCAGAAACAAGTTAAACAATTATGGGAAACACATTGGTAAAAATGATTTTCCCCCTGTGCTGCATGCTAACAAACATTGCTGTGGAAACAGAGAACTCTCAAATTCAGTGAAGTGACATTGATGGCTGCTCTGAGTAAAAAAGATGAGAAATCCTAGTCAATGGCACATTCAAGATTTACTTTTTTCAAACACACACACAGTTAACTATGATCCTGAGAAGAGATTGTTTTTATGATAATCCTTGAAAAAACAAGTTGCTTCTTGTAACATTTTTTCTCTGAGTCCTTTATGCATCCACACCAATGGCTCTGTGCCTGTGCACAGCCATTCCTTTCAGGACCTTCTAGAATAAGACCTCTGATTGGCCCCACCCTATCTATAGTGCATGCATTGGAAGCATCTTTGCCTTAACTCTGCATGGACATCAGTTAACCGCAAGCAGCAAGGAGAGGAGAAGGAAAGGTCATGTGAAAGGAAGCATACAAATGGAAATTAAAAACATACAAACAAGAAGCAACCTGTTTTAGTTCATCCTTTCTATGAACTCACTATTGGGTGAAGACTAACAAGCTTATTCCTAAAAGGCAGGCAGGTAGGCACCTGCACTTACTGGAGAACATGCAGAGAACTGTCCTTCCAAAGAAAGTATCCCTCTGAGACCAGATATCCAGATGGTAGTACTGGATAAAAATGGGTGGCCAATACCAGATTACAGTTCTGCTAAAGATACCCCTCTTAAAAATGCAAGGGAAGTGGCTACAGTTCTGACAGAATGACTTCTAGTAGTGTTTGGCAGCGGTATCTTGGCCAGTTAGTAAACCAATGTAATCATTTTCATGACCCATTTGGCAAATTTTTGAGAAGAAATCACCTGTCTGTCCTTTCTTAGATTCAGAATATGCTATGGAGACTTATAGAGACTGTCTGTATTCTGGACTTAAAATGCTAACACTCTCCTCATGTCTAGCATGAGAAGAGCTCTTTCTATTGGTGTCAAGGTAGATGGGAAGAAAGAATATCAGGAGCATAATGCCCTCCCCCATATGGAAAGTGGAAAGAACCTTAGACAAAAAAGGTTACACTCAGGCTTAAGTGTAACAATATCCAGATACCAACAGTGATAAGGCTGGGCAGTCCTAAGGGCACCAATGTTTCCTGCTCAATACGCTAGAGAAATGACTGCCAGGAATAAAGCTCCATAGACACACTGCCAAAGACTCAAATGGAGGTTTTGCAAGTTGGGAAACAACCAAAGGTCTGCAGGATTGTAGCGGTGGGGATAAAGCAGGAAACTCAGCTATATCCCATATAAAACTTTTAAGCTATGGATTTTTAAATATGAAAATAGAAGCCTGTGAGCTGGAACCAAGGCTTATAAAGCTGCCAGGTAAACATTTATAAAGGAATAGGATAAACCATTCAACAGCACAAGTAGAAACTAAAGTATCAATAACATTTTTTTCTGAATTAAACATTTGATCTTTTGCAACCTTGCAAAAAGCTCTGTTCCTTCTTTTGAATTTTATTTATTTATTTTAAATATTTTCATCTTAAAAAGAATGCAAGGCAGCTATACATCCTGCTCAGTGGATCAGCAAGACAGTTTGTCTCTCCTGGAACATGCAGTGCAGCAGGGAAGATTGTGTGATGTTCCAGAGGCTCAGTGAGGTCAAAAAATTTCTTCAACCTTGTGCCATCTTGCTTATGTACTATACTGTGGTGTTGTAGGTGATGAACAGTCAGTCAGAAGTGGATGAAGACCTTTGTAGGCTTTGAACACCACAAGGTGTGCCTTAATGAGAGCACTGCTGGGACCAAACCATCAGCATGCGTAGGCATTTATCATTTGGTTGGTACAGCAAGTTGACTTTCACTTTGCATCTCATTCTCTGATACAGAGCCTTGAGCTGATTCATAGAGAGCACATTGATGCCCAAAAGCTAAATAAAAAAAATGTAATAACAGTAATGGTCCTTCTCTGCTTTGAAGATCTGAGAGCAGCTCTATTAGTGTGGCTTCTGTGAAACAGAACTGATGGAAACATTCACTGGAATATGTGCAGTAAATGGCAGGGTAGGACCCCAAATCCATGCTCAGTCTAGAATGTCCAGGTATGAATTAATTAGTATGAATTCATGAAGACCATGAAGAAGAACAGTGACTCCAAAAATACTAGTGCTATTGCAGATGACTGTCTTGAGTTTTTGCACACTAGGATCTGTTCTGGATAAAGCCTTTACTGACTATAAAAACATGACTGTGTTTCAGAAATACAGAGTTCACCAAGAGAGCAGGTGCATCCAATAGTAATTCAGCTCTGAGTCTCTTATTCTCCTGTATTTCTGTCACAATGAGTTATTATGTCAAAAGATCTGTATAATCAAACCAACCAAATTCCACAGCACTGCCTTCAAATGCAATGCCACTCACAAACTAAGGAAATAAGTTTATTTCAAGCTAATCTTGGCACTAAAGGGAAAAACAGCCTGAGGCAGCAATACATACTGATATGCATTCTTATGTTCTATATCAGGAACATTACAAAAGTGCAATAGAAAAATCATTGTTGTGAGCATATAAACAGCTTTCCTACCTGATACATCTGGCACATTAGAAGCACAGCCACCCACATGAAGTGAAACACACTATTCAGAAACATCCAGAACATCCAAGGTGAACATGTGGCTATCTGTGTAATATATGTCCAAAAACCATCTGTAGCGTAACTAGTATGACAGTGGATTCCCCAGTCTGAAATAGTGACAAAGAATATTATTACACAATAGGATTAGAAAATATTATCTAAACATCTTAGTGTTCCCTTTCCAGTATAATGTTAAAAACTATATAGTTTATTTATCCTTAAATTGATCCACTACAAGAGCTTAATGGTGTACTGCAATATAGAACAATCAGAAATGCTTCAATATGAAAGTGCTGTTTATTACAAGAATCCAACTATGCAATATACTCTGTTCACTGGAAACACACACACTAATAAAACATTAAATACATACAGACCACAGACATGCTAGGAGTTAAATTGGGCATTTAGAAAATGTTTCTGAAAACTATACTCACAAGAGATACATCCATAAATCATCCAGCAAATCATAAAGAGTAAAAAGAATAAATATCCCATGAAATAACGATGATTGCCTGCTCCTAAGAAGAAAGAATAGACATAAAGATCTTTATTTTTAACAAGATAGCAAAGAGGGTGCTCCCAGCAATATATCAACAGTTTCTCTGCCTTATTACTAAGAGAGCTTTGTTTCAGTTAGACAGCAGTTTGTTGCATGCTTTACAAATCCAGTGCCATATACAAAAAGTTCTCTTGTGGGGAAAGATCTATTTAAGAAGTAACAAATGTATAGGTAAAATGAGGATATAAGCATATATTACAAGCCAGACCAACTGTCCAGTGACCTTCTCTCCAAAATGAAACTACAGTAGTTTCCTTTACACTTAAGTGAGATTATAGTTGAGAGGCCAATACAGTACAAAGTACAGTGGTGCCTCGCTTACTGACGTTAATCTGTTCCGGAAAAAACGTTGCTAAGCGATTTAATCGCAAAGCGATATTAAAAAGCCCATAGAAACGCATTAAAACGTGATTAATGCATTCCTAGGGGCTAAAAAGTAACCTTTAAGCGAAGATCCTCCATAGGGGCGGCCATTTTCGGTGCCTCTAAAGCGAGGAAACACAGCGGGCGGCCATCTTGTTTTCCCGGTGGCCATTTTGAAACCGCCGATCAGCTGTTTAAAAAGGGTCGCTTTGCCATGATCGCTTCCCCGCGATCACCGCAAAGCGAAAAAAACCCATAGGGACCGTTGCAAAGTGATCGCTTTTGCGATCGCAAAAACTCCATCGCTAAACGATTTCGTCGCTCAACGGAGCGATCGCTAAGCGAGGCACCACTGTATCTGGTTTAAAACTCTCAGACACAACGCCCAAGTATAGAATACATTCAGATGGTAGCAACACACCATTCCACTCAATATGCTCCAGCTAATGCAGGGGTGGGCAATTAATTTCTATAGGGGGGCCACATGAAAAATCTGAACTGTGTTCGGGGGCTGAACCAACTTTTCTTTAAAATAAAATGAAACAGTGATGTTATGATTGTTTTTATTTTAAACTTGTTAATCTTCACAAATACTAAAGAGGTTTTTTGCGCTATGTTAAAGATAAGCAACTGATCAACTTTAGACAAAAAGCTATAAATGGTTTTGATGTTCAGGACTGTCCGTGGGCCGGACAGGAGCGGCTTGTGGGCCGTACGTGGCTCTCGGGCCGCATTTTGCCCAGGTCTGAGCTAGTGGGAAAGTGGAAACAATTTTTGGATGTTGACCTCTCCCTTCTTGAAGAGACCCCACACTGTACTAGTAGTCCTCTAACATTCTAAATGTTGCAGGGCATAACGGGGACAGAGGATCAACAAAGAATGTTTCTTTTCATTCTGCCACTGGAAATATGCAGAGGCCTTCCAAGAGCTAAGGAAACTCTGTTTTTTAAAAGGAGACTCTATTTTAAGTTGCATAGCTGCTACAATTTATGATTATAACCCCATGCTACCAAACATTCATGAGGAATTCCCTTCCCCCTCCAATGACACCAGGCAGTTTAATAGGATGTTACAATATGCAACTGAATTTTAAGTTGTCAGCAGAAGAAATTTTCATAGTTATTGAGGTTCTTGGTTCAAAGTGATCAAGATGCCTCACTCCATGTTATTATTGTGTTATATTTTACATTTAAAGAAAAAGGCACTTTTCGTCCTGTTTAAAGAGAATACAGTATGTCTGTAATTAAGAATATGGATGTCAATGAATTATCCCTACTACTAATACAAACATGTTCTCTTCCAAGTTTTTCTCAATTGTTGCAGTAGTGAGTGTTGCTGACAAGGTACAATATATATACATACTGCTGCATTCATATACAGCCGTGCCCCACTGGACGATTACCCCGCTCTATGATGAATCCGCTTAACGTTGAAGTTTTTGCAATCGCAAAACGATGGCTTAAATGGGTTTTTTTTTGTTTCATGATGATCGGTTCCCTGCTTCGGGAACTGATTTTTGCTTTACGACCATCCGCAAACAGCTAATCGCCAGGTTTCAAAATGGCCACCGGCTGAAGAAAATGGCTCCCCACTGTTTTTAGGACGGATTTTTCACTATACAGGGAGCAGAAAATGGCCACCCTATGGAGGATCTTCGCTGGACGAGCAGTATTCAGCCCACTGGAACACACTGAACGGTTTTCAATGCGTTTCAATGGGGGTTTTTATTTCGTTTGATGACGTTTTCGCTCTACATCGATTTTGCTGGAACGAATTAACGTCGTCAAGCGAGGCACCACTGTACTATCATGCATTAGCTCACAATGACAAAGTATGCATTATCGTGAATGTAAAACCCCACAGACTGAGAATGATAGATGTACAGTTTTGAACTTTTGTATTCCCATTCACTACTTACCTACACAGTTTCCAACCCAGGGACAGTGGTGATCAAACTTGGCTATACAGCGATTGCATACACCACAATGCTTGGACCTCACTGGTTTCCGTATCTATTTGACAGAGTTTAATATGCACACAAAATAATAAAGCTTTACAAATGAAAGAAGAACATGTGATGGGGTTCTGAACACATTGCTGGTATCAGCACTGCTTCTAGTTCTGGATGCAATACCATCAAGACTTTTGGGATTAACTCTTCACATACTTAGCCCAACACACAATGTATAACCTAGTAAAAAGATACCTCCCTTACATTAAATTTCCTTTCAATGAAAGCTTTGTATTTGTTACAGACATCAGAGAATTAAAAATATTATGTAACTGAATTATTTCACTTGCAATGGCTACATGGTCTGAACAGCACAATTAAAGTCAAACACAGGAAAATTATCTTAATTATGAATTGAAATTTCCCCCACTGTTCTCTCATTTTATTGGCAACCCTGAAACAAAAATACTTTAATTCAGAGATGGAAATGAATGGATTTTTATTCATATGGAAAAACTAACAAGAGCTTATGAGCATAATAGCCATTTGAGGATTTTTATTATTTGTCATTTTTCAAAGACCAACTGATATCTCATGAGCAGCTACATAATGATTTGAACACTATTTGGAAAACACTAACAACATAACTCTAGTACAGTGTAAATCAAAATATGTCATCAAAACAAAGGTCAGAGAAAAGCATCTTTCTCTTACAGATGGCACATGCAATATTCAACTTTTAATGTTTTAGAATAGTCTACAAAGAAAAACGTTTGTCTGAAATTTCACCAAACTCTGCTAGCACACTGATTTAATCCACTAAGATTAGACTGGATTTATTTATACACAATGGCTGAAATTCTGTTGCTCAGCATAGGAAGTCACACTAGAGTACACTCACTGAATCAATGGAACTTACAGAGGAGTTCACTCAACAAATTCCCACTGATTCAATGGGCCTACTGTAGTGTAACTCTACGCTGGTCAATGACCGCAATAAAGACTTGTTGTAGTAGTAGTGTAACTTACTATACTAAGCAGAAGGATTTCAGCCAAATATTTTAACTAGATTACAATATTTAAAAATTTTAAAAATGAATTGCAAAATTCATCAAAATATCTAATTTGTTGATTTCTATTTACCAGAAGCTTTGCCCCTGATTAATATGAATCAATGAATTTTTAGCAATTTTCAATTTACTGACTTGTTGGGCTAGTCTGCACATTTAAGAATTTTGTGTAGGATACCTACACAGAACATTCAGAAGTAGGTGCATAGTCCTACTGTAATTATTTCTATCACTAAAAAATTATTTGATACCAAATATGAATCATGTGGAGAATTATGGAATGAAATGATTTGTGGAATATGAAGTCTTAACATGAGAAATAATAAAACTGGAGGTTATACCTAGGAATGATATTTAGAAAATTATTAGGAGGGAAGAATGATGACTCTGTTTATACACTTTAATTTTAAAAAGCACTCTGCAATTTAAAGGCAGCCTTCAGACCATCTAATTCGTTTTTTAAAATTCTTAAATGTGCAGACTGGGTAGTTGGGATGTAACAAATTTGGTATGGGAAATATAAAAGCAATATAAAATATATCTTCACTGGATCATCATCCATCACTTAACACTAGCATGTATGTGCAGCATTCTCTATTAGGTCTATGGTTCATGTTATATTATGTAATGGTTCATGTTTGTTATGTAATGGAATGATTCATGCATATTAATGCTGCTGAGAGGTGGAGCCGAGAGAGATACTATAAGAGGCAAAGGCAGAGAGTCAAGGAGAAGATTGAGTCAGAGAAATGTAAGAGTCAGGCAGTAGAGAAAAGTCAGAGAAAGTAATAGAGTGTGTAGTCTGGGAAATTCTGAGGTGTGATTAGCTACTGAAGACATCTATGAATCAATCTCTGTAATCAATAAACCAAAGTTTTATTTAAAAGAACTTGAAAAGTGGACCTGACTCTTTCTGAAGTAATGGTGATTTAGGGATCACCTGGTGGCAGCAGTGTTAAAGAGGAGAGTGTTTGCCTTCGTGTGCTCTGAGGCTTGAAGGTCAAGCAAAAGGGGCACAAGGGTGAATGCCACAGTATGATTAACCATAAATTAATGTGGAGAAAATAGACCTTCTTATCTTTCTCTTTTTAAAGTTTTGGAAATGTTAGATATTAGAATTTCTACAGTAACTGAATAATACCATTATGATACCACTGAGATAATTTAATTCATACCTCTCAAATTTTGCTGAATTTGTTTCTCCAACATGTAACTAGAAAACAAGAGTTCTAACTACACTATGATGAAAACCCAGATGAGGACTTCTAATATTTTGAATTCTCCAGGATCAACAGCAATGTGCTTAAATAATCTCTTGGTATTCTTAGAAACCCACCCATATTCATACCTACCAATAGAAGCTTACAGAATACACTTTTCCTGAAAGTAGACCTAATATTAAAATGTATAGTTCAATTACAAATAATTTTTAAAAGCATATTACCAAACAGGTACTGCAGAATATACTGAGGTCCAAACTTCCTGTCTCTGCAAGCTCCACTATTGTCTGCAGAGAAGCAAAAAAAAAAAAGATTAAAAAACCCAGCTGATATAGGATTTCCATTTAAAAAAATGTAATTTTAACAGATCCAGTAAAGCCAACATAAACAAACAGTCCTTTTGAATAGTGGCACCACCACTAAGAAACCCCTTCCACAGGAAGGAAGGCCAGCTCCCTTGCTAAATATTTTAAAACTTCTCCAATCTAATTGCCTGCCTGCCTCATTTCTAACTGGCTGTGTTAATTAAGTTGTAATTAAGACTGCTGCCTTAAGTTGTTACTGATGCTGAAATGAGTTTTACTCAACTACCATGAGAACAAGTTGCTCAACTGTAACTGTTGTTCTTTGAGTGGACATCTGTGAATTTTCTGTGCCTGCACTGAAGTCAATAGAATGTTCCAGAGTTCACACTTGAAAGCGAAAAGCCTTCCCCCCCATCAGCTTGTGTGCATGCTCCAAGCCACTAACGACTTTCCCTCTGTCTCTTTCCAGCCCCAGTCAAAACCAGAGGAGTAGAAAACAGAGAGGAGGACAGGTGGGCTGTATGAATTCATAGATGACCACTCAAAGAACCACTGTTACAGGTAAGCAATGTCTTATTCATGGTCTCCGTGAATCACACAACTGGGTGACTTAGCTCAGTTTTTGGAGGCAGATTAACACGGTGGACAGGAAAATCACTGTAGAAGATAACACTGCTAGGTTGAAGGAAGAATAACAAAATCAGAGAATAATTTCTTTGTTCATATATTTAGCTTGCAGTGTTTCATGAAAATAGGAGGCTGCGACTAAGTAGCTGCAACTTTGTAAGTGTTCTGAATCTGAACACCATTAAAATGATGTTGAAGTACTCAAAGCTCTAGTTAAAGTAGACATGTGTCTAGATGGGCAGGGTATAAATTTAATTAATAAATAAAATAAAATAAATGACCCTTGATTATTGAGAATAAAGTGACTTCACCTAGATCATACATCAATTTAATTACAGACACAATAGAGTTTGATGGACCTTGCGAAGAAACAAACAAAAGCCTGTTTTCCTAAATTCTTTTGTTGTAGATAAGCAAAAGGCAAATGACCAAGAACAAGACTATGCTGATTCTGATCATACGAAGGAGATAAGATCAGGATTGAGTGTGTCTTGGTGTTCTGTTTCTTTCTTCTCAGAGTTCAATTCGGATCCTCTCTAAATTGAGGGGGTTATTCCTAATGTGTTTGGTTTAGTTTACCTAATCTTGGAGATTGCCACTCAATTGCAGCATAGTGCTGAACAGGAGACCCGGACTGAATACCAGAGTTTGAACCAGATCAAGATCTGTCTCTTCCATGGTATTAAGATGCTGTTGGGCTGGACAACAACGGAAAGGGGGAGGAGGGAACTTCAAAATGTCAAAATTAATTATTTTAATTATTTTTAAAAGGATTTTAAAAAAATCAAAACTAAATAAGAATGAAGGAAAGGGGGAAGGAAGGAGAAAAATTCTTTATAAAATGGGGCATATTCTCCAAGCTGTCATTTATGCAGTGGATGAAGAAAGGTGGAGGGTGAGGGAAAGCTGTTGGTGGCTTGGAACATGTGCATAACCTAATAGGAAAGGGGAAGGGCTTCTAGCTGTGCACTCAGGAACCCAACTGTATGATTCATGGAGACCATCAAGGAGGAGGCTTTTTAGCATGGGAAGGCAGTATAAAATTATGAAAGCAAACACTTAATGCAGAAGAAATTTAACACCAGTTAAAGCCCTGCATAGAAGTAGATGGCTATTTGGTCACTTCCACTTGTGTCTGAATGGGAGACTTCCAAGATGCAAATAGTGCCAGCTGTGCCAAGGTTGCACAAGTAGACTGGACTGCTCCCACAGCCCTAAGCAACAGTGCCCCTTGATTGTTCTACTGGATTATTAAAGAATTCTATTTTTCTCCTAGTCTGAAGTGGTTCAGAAACTATTACTTCTCTAACAGGCAGTCCATCTGGGTTTAAGCTCTAAAGTGTAATGATGCTCTCATCCTAGGAGTTAAGTTTAAGATTATGTACACGGAAAAACTTAACAATATCATTGTCACCATCATCAGTTAGAAAGAGTCAGATGCTGTCGGAAACTTTTACCTTCTTCTTTTGTTCTTCAGTGGCTTTAATTATTCCTGGATCTGATTTCCAAGATTTCCCAAAATTATAGAAAAGTGCAACACTATTAGCAAGAAATGGAAGATGGATGAACAAAAAATTTAGATGTATTGAACATTAAGGAATTTACATGTGACACATTTGAATTAGAATTCATTTTCTGACCTTAACTTAATAATGCTCTGAAACAAACAGAAAAATTATTTTGGAATGCACTTTCCAACTATCACTAAAAAGTTTCATAGCAAATACATCAGATGTGTTCTTAGATGGCCATTTTTTTCCTACTTATATTTGATTTTTTTTACAACACTTAAATTTACAGCATAACACTATACATTCTGACTGAGAAATAGGTCTCAGAAGTATTATCTGCTCTTCAGTAGCTTTACTCACTAATAAAAATGGTTAGCATTATACATCCTTACTGTTTTTATACCTATTTTCTAAAAGAATATTTCTAAAAAGTACAAAACCCTTCCCCTGCTTTTTTACTTTTTGTCTAATGCCATGATGTTACAGATGAATCATAACATTATTGTTGTTTAGTCATTAAGTCATGTCCGACTCTTCATGACCCCATGGACCAGAGCACGTCAGGCCCTCCTGTCTTCCACTGCCTCCTGGAGTTGCGTCAAATTCATGTTGGTCACTTTGATGACACTGTCCAACCATCTCGTCCTCTGTCATCCCCTTCTCCTCTTGCCTTCACACTTTCCCAACATCAGGGTCTTTTCCAGGGAGTCTTCTCTTCTCATGAGATGGCCAAAGTATTGAGGATTCAGGATCTGTCCTTCCAGTGAGCACTCAGGGTTGATTTCCTTCAGAATGGATAGGTTTGTTCTCTTTGCAGTTCTCTTTGCAGTCCAGGGGACTCTCTCCAGCACCACAATTCAAAAGCATCAATTCTTCAGCAATAGGCCTTCTTTATGGTCCAGCTCTCACTTCCAGGCATCTTTTAATTTTGTGGCTGCTGTCCCCCATGTGTGGTGATCATGGAGCCCAAGAAGTAAAATTTGTCACTGCTTCCATATCTTCCCCTTCTATTTGCCAGGAGGTGATGACACCAGTGGCCATGATTTTGGTTTTTTTGATGTTGAGCTTCAGAACATTTTTTGCGTTCTCCTCTTTCAATCATAAAATACTTTTAACTATAAATGGTCCTGTATGGACAATGAGGATTGCCACAATCCTTTTGAGGGGGAAATAATGACATTCATATTTAATTGCTTCCCACATACACACGGAGACAGAGACACAGGAAGAAGACATTAAAAGATGGGAATAAAACACACACCTTTATACTTTTCATATTCAGATTCTCTTAGTTCTATCTGGAGTTTAATCTGTTGTGCTAAGGATTCTTCTAGTTATTTAAACAACTGAAGTTCAACAGATATAAATATTTCATATCACAGAGCTAAATAGTTTCATTAGCAATTTTTAAATTCAGTACTGTATCTAAATTTACACCCACCAAAATAACAAGGGAATGAGTGCCATTACATGCACTTTAAATATGCTTATCAAAATCACTAACTTCAATTGGATGTCGTTAGATTTAAGTACATACATCCCATCATGAAGAAGTTTTGATGTAGATATAAAAGTTATCTGTAGCAAACTTGTACAGCCAATAAGCGGAGAGGTTCTTAAAACATATATTCACTTAAGTCTTTCTAGCCAAAACACTAACTTAAATGGGACACAGTGATCTTTAAATAGGCCATTAGGGGTTATGAGCCCATCCACTTTTAATTCTTTTAAATTCCCAAAACAATACGGGACATGCTTTAAGAAGTAGCAGGATTCATTCCAAAGTATTAAACAGTATGTCTAGACTAGTAAGTGACGACAGTGATTGTACATGTTTGCTTAGAAAAAGTTGAAAGAATTTAATTGTCTATCTGTCTTTAGATGTTTGCCAAGATCTGCTGTTTTCAAGCATAGATAATCTGTTCCTATGACTGTTACATCCAAACCTCTCTTGGCAAAGACTTTCAGATACTATGTTTGAAAATCAGGTCAGGGTAGTCCAAAGTAATTTCCAATGCCCTTAGGCTGGAACAAGTTTCGATTCAGCGCAATCCCAGCTGGCTTAGTGTCAGCTCTGTCAGCCATCAGCCATCTTGCCTACTTTGGACTGCACCCATAACACTGCAGCTACTGCAGTTGCAGCTGCTGAAAAGGAGAGTTAAAATAGAGGAAATGGTGTAGAAACAAAGAGACTACAGAGCATGGTCAACAGGGATAAGGTGTTCTATGCTTACAAGATCAAATAACTTAATTTCATACATACCTTTAACATTGACAGAAAGCTGACTGGCAGAACGCTAAATTCTTTATATATATATTTAATTTCCACAAATATCCAAAGAATTTTGATTTTGCCATAGATCAACTTTAACACTGTTATGCCTAGACTCACCCAACCTAATGGTTCTACAGTCTCATTTACAAGTCTTTTTCTCTCCCTAGGTGGAAGCCTCTCCACATGCAGAAGCTGATGTTAGAAGTACTGCTGCTTTTTCTGTACAATCTGCAGTAGTATAAATATATAGTGACCTACGGAACAGTTAGAGGGATGATGGAAAGCAAGGTATTCCACAAGAATGTCAAAGGAAATCTGTGTCTGTCTCATCCAATGCGCCCCTTCTCTTGAAGCACAATGAGAAATACCAAAAAGCCTTCCACCAGTCCTGGACTACTGTACTTACTTTCTATCCCAGTACAGTAGTATCAATGGGAAGAAGTCTTTGAAGAAAAGGAAGAGGCAAGGAAGGGGTTGTAGAAGCCATGATTCCAACATTTCCCACTTGGCACCTGATCCTGACATTTTTACATGAGTCAACTGAATGGTTTCACTAACAACCTACCCACCTCCTCACTAGGAAAGCTGAGTACATCTACCATTCCACTTTCTCATAGTGTCTATGTACCCAAGCTTGTCCCCATCAATCAATACAGTGGTGCTTCCACTTACGACCATAATCCGTTCCAGAAGATGGACATAACTCGAAATGGTCGTAAGTCGAAGCACCATTTCCCATAGGAATGCATTGAAACCCCATTAATCTGTTCCGGTCAAAGGAAAAAAACCCACAAAAAATCACTGCAAGACTCATTGGAAACGTGATTAATCTCTTCCAGCCGAGGGGGGGGGGGAAGCAATCAAGCGTACACGACCCATTGAAAATGCACAGAAGACTAATGGAGCAGATCGGAAATACAGAGAACAAAAGGGGCAGGTCAAAAATGCAAATAAGACAAAGGGAAAAGCAAAGGACACATGCAGGACACATTGGAAATGGGGAAACCCCTAAAAAGCAACCAACCCCCCCAAGAACCATCGGAAATGGAGGGAACCAAAAAACAAACCCCCCAAGACCCATTGGAAATGGGGAAAAACACTCCAAAAAGCAACAAAAACCCCCAAGACCCATTAGATATGGAAAAACCCAAAAAAACCAACCCCTAAGACCCACCACAGCACAGAAACATAACCCCCCCAGCTCAAAGCCACACTGCAAAAACACCCAGAACAGTTTTTAAAAAGCAGAAAACACCACCTTATCTTACAAGACAGCCCGAAACCTCCCTGCAAACACACACAGACACACTCTCAGAAGCAGAAGGAAGCAGTCTCAAGCCTCCACCGCACATGCTCTAACTGCTAGGGCGAAAGAGCTACAAAGCAGCAGCCTTGTCGCCACCTACAGTTAGCGATTTGAATTTCCTGCCTTTTCCCCCTACCTTTTTCTGTTCATAAATGGAAGGTCCGGACGCAAGTAGAAGCAAAATTTTGCAGCTGGAGCTGATTGTAACCCGAAATGGTCGTAAGTAGGGACGTAAGTCGAGGCATCACTGTAATTGCTGCCATATAATTTGCTTGTATCTATTCATTTCTGCCTTACTCCTTTTTAATGTACTGCCATGACTGTTTTCTTGACATCTTGCTTTCAGTTCTACCAGAAGTCCTTCTCTTCTTTGACTTCTTCTAACCCCAGCCTGCCCAAGGTTCACTTTACTAAAGCTGCTCCTCTTTGTGAATCTTAGCCTCTGAATTTTTAAGTGAACATAAAGTTATATTACTAAAAGGAAAAATTTCAACAACAAAACCCTGAGAGCAGAAAGGATATCATTCCAAAACCAAAAAAACCACGTCACATACATCCAGAATTTTGTTGCTAGGTAGATTCCAAGTGGCAATGCACTATGCATGGAGTGGTCAAAGAATGATCTGTGGAACAAAAGAGAAACAATAGCACAGAATAGTTCAGTGTGTGTGTAATTATTTTAAAAAAACATAGTCTCATAACACTATTAGCAGATCCACTAATGTTGTTAGAAATAATATTTAGCAATCTGTATGTATGACTGAATAAAACAAACACTCTTCTGTCTTATGTAGAATGCTTTTTAATTTCACAATTGCAAGGCTCATAATATATATTTGTTCACCTTGCAAATGTTTAGATGTAGCATGAACTAACACTTCCAGAAAAAGCTTGTCTCCAGTTTAGATTGTAAAACAAAATTCTCATAGTCAGCATTCAGGCCGACCAGGTTGTTTGGTAAGCATGTGCCCAGCACCATCTGTGAAAACAGATCAGAATTTCGAACCATGAGGGAACACTTGGAGAAAAATGAGCATTTGTTAAAGGCTTATAAATATCAAACACAGGGCAGTTCACTCAACTTAAGGTGATATGGATACAGAAATGTGCCAGATTTACATATCCATTTCTGAGATTAAAAATATTCATGAAATGACTTCCCTCTTAATTTTCATGTAGTGAAGTGTAAAAATGATTCCACTGGTGAAGTGAGAAAGACACCTACACCAATGTTCAGGATGTTGTAATGTGGAATCTTGACATGTTAGAGTGCTTTGAAAACCATAGCAAATTATCTTTCTTTAAAAAAAACAGTTGAATATCTGTCAGCCTTCAAAGATGAGGCACGAACACTGCAACAGTTCCAATAAGAAAATGAAAAATTCTACTAGTCTGGTAACATGTCCTTCAACATTATTTTAGATTAGCCATACAAATTTCAGTTGGATTCCATTAAAAGAATTCTGTATCCTTATGCTATTACAAACTCTAAAGTAATGTTTATCCTAAAACCACATTTTGACAGCAGTATGGGAAAACTGTGAGGCAAAACTCATGGTAATTTTTTAAACTTAATTTGAAACAAAAGGCAAACTTAGAACATGATCTGTAGCAATATCTCTTATGTTTACATGAGAAATTCCAGTGCTTAAAAGGTTCACCTTACATGTATCACAACTTTTAAACTGAAAAGAAATTTAACATGTGTTTCTGTGTAACTTTTCTAGAGACAATGCAATTTTTGTTATTAAGACATTGATTTTAGTCATTAAAAGTATATAGATATAAACTTTATTGGGATTCTTTTTGTCTAGCCATAGAGAACTAGAATGATATTTGCAAAAAGGTCTTATAAGAACTGTGTTTATTAAAGAGAATAATAGTAGAGAACCAGTGTAAGTTTCACTTCTATGGACAATCTGACAATCATTTTATAAAGAGAGTCTAACATTTGATTCCCAAAATAGAAAGCTACATCAAAACTGTGAAAAGGAAACATGACAGTTGGGCAAACATTGCATTGTAACCATTCTGAGAAAAAGTCACAGACTGATTGGATCGATGATCTGAAGTAATTTTTGCTTACAACTAAAATATGTATACTGTTTCCATCTAGACAGTGCGTATCAAATAAACTACAGTGGGCCCTTGACTTACGAACGGCCCTAGTTACGAACATTTCGGGTTATGAACCCGAGCTCATCGCAAGTAGTAAACCCTACTTGCGAACGCAGATCGGGTTACGAACCCAAAAGGCAGGAAGAAAGGGTGGGAAATTTGAATTTCCTGCCCTTCCTCCCTGCCTTTGGAGCTTTCAAAAGGCTTCCTCCGACATCGGAGGAAGCCTTCTGAAACCTTCAAAGCAAAAAAGGCAGGGAGAAAGTGCAGGAAGTTCGAACTTCCCACGCTTTCTCCCTGTCTTTTTGGCTTCAGCGAGCTCCGAAGTCGCCCATCGCGGCGTCAGGGACCCCCAGGGAGGTCTCCCAGGGCTTGCACGCCACCATGGGAGACCTCCCTGGGGGTCCTCGCCGCCGCGATCAGTGCCTTCAGAGGTTTCAAAGGGCTTTCCCCCAACATCGGAGGAAGCCCTTTGAAAGCTCCAAAGGCAGTGGAGCCAGCAGAGCGCCGGGAGGCTAGAGCAGGCCAGGCGCCTGGCTGCTCGCCCCTGGCCGCGCAGAGCCAGCGGAGGGCTGGGAGGCTTCAGACTGGTAAGTCCTTTTAAAAAAAACAACAAAAACTTTTCTGTGTTGGTTTTGGAGGGTGGGTTTGGACTGTGGGGCTATGTTTCTGTGCTTTGTGTGTGTGTGTGTTTTGCAGTCCCAACGTGGCAGTTGCTCTTTTTATTTTTATTTTTATTTTTTGTTTTTTTGAAATGCTGGAATGGATTAATTCCATTCCCATGCATTTCAAGAACAGATTAAGTTCGTAAGTTGAGGGCCCACTGTATCCAGGTCAGAATGCAACAGCACTGAAGTTTACTACTGTTGAGGATCATTCATTAAATTGGATTTGATTACATGTTTACTTGTATGGGTTTTATTCACAGTACCCTCTTTAACAATATTCTTTAATCATCTATCTATTCTCTTTTCCTTTTAACACTTTCCTATTCTCTATAACACTCCAACTTTCTACTCTGTCTTAACTCTCCTCGCTCTCTTACTTCCATTACCTATCTCTCTAGCTGCCCGTCTAACTCCCCAACTGTCACTCTAATTCCACCCCTCCTGTCCTATCATAGGCTCCTGCACCTGAGTTCCATATGATGGACAGGAGTGACGTGGGCATTCTGCCACAACTGCCTTGTCTAATACATCTACTTTTGCTAAGCTTTTCTATCAGTCCCAAATAATTATTTAATAGTAGACTGAAATGTGATAAAACAACTAATTCCTTTCAAGAAAGTATGCATCTGACAATATTTCATATAATTAAATTATCTTTTTATTTAAATAAAGGAATTAATTATGTTAGTACTTACTTGGAAAGAAACTGAACCATGACCCAAACACCACCATACATGAGTCCTTTAATGAGCCAAGAATCAATATCAAGGTCTGCTATAAATCCCACCAGCCAAATAACTAGGAAAGGTGTTCCTAGCATCACTTTTTGACGGAATTCCTATGTTTAAAAAAAAACACAAACATTTAAGTAACTTAAATTCCAATTACATTTTTATTAAAAGACAAACAAATTAGATGACGACAGATTTAGATGGTGGTAAATTTGAAATCCAAACCCACAACAGAGTATGGCAGAGTACTATCCTAAAATGTATCATTCCAAAATATTACCTTGCCACTCAGTTTCTCAATGTATCTGTCTTTAATTCTCCCCTCCTTTCATATATTAAATCAATTTCATCATTACAGACATATCCTAAATCCTTGAGGCATTCTTCCAGTATGATACAACAGAAACTTTATCTGATATCAAAATATAAATAGTAATCTCTAGACATTTTATAGAATCTCAGATAATTTAAAAGCACCTAAAACCAACCCTCACTATTTTCTAACTAAATGGCTGAAATCCTGTTGCACAGCTCCACACACATGCAACAGTGATGATGTAACAGCAGTGGGAAATCATCACAGAGTAAAGGCTTCTTTAAGGAATGTTGCAGTGCATGTAACTTTGTTGCATTGTGCATGAGTTAACAGCACTCTGCAATTGCCTTTGATCAGAAGCAATTTGTGTTTAATCAGTGGCAGTTTGCTGCTGCTTGTTGCATCATCTCAGTTGAGCACATGGAACTGCATAACATGATTTCAGTCATTATAATACTGCTATTATTCTAAATCAAAGTCTAATAAGATTTAACATTCACAGAATAGCAAAAATATATAATCAGCATCTTCAGAACCATATTTCTAGTATCAGTTATGAGTCATGTTATGATTCTTCTTATTCTCCTACACCAGAGGTGTCCAACCTTTCACCTTCCCTGGGCCACATTAGAAGATGAAAATTTGGTTTGGGCCGCACATAAAATAACAGTAACGATACCTGATCATCCAAAAAACAAACAAACATAGAAAACATTGTTAATATATTAAATTTATTTGGAAATGAAGTTAGTGAGATGTTTGACATTGTTTCTCAGCCACCAGTGCATCCATATTTGGTTTGACAAATAGAGCTGGGGAAATTCAAAAGCCCTCTCCACCGGGCTCCTGTCTCCTGCTCCCCTTTCTCTCCATGCTGCTTCCTTCCCAGCCTGGCTGGAAAGCTAGCAGCATGGAGGGAGAGGGCTGCAGGAAACAGAGACCTGGCTTCCCAAGTAGAAACTCCGAAGTTTCTACTTACACTCAGCCTTTCGCCAGCCCTTCTCTCCGCTCGGCCGGAAAACCCAAAACCTGATGAACCACTGGGCTGACTTCCTCCCTCATTCTGGGCAGCAATGGTGTTGAGAGGCTCGGCTACCTGCTTTCCCCCCCAGGCGCTGAGTTGGCTGAGCTGAGGGGCGGATTTGGCGCCCGACACACACACACATGCGGGTGGACGGGCGGGCAGCTCCTCCCTCTCCGCCTTCCCCTCGCTGCGTCTTTCCAGCTCAGGCTGACTGTCCTGCTGCACTACAGCTTTCTGGCTCCAGGAGTTGCTGATCTGCCTGCTCTGCCCGCCTCCTCTTTTGTGCATTCTAGTACAGCATTGTGGGAGGTGCAGGATCTTCACTGGGCCGCATTAGGAGCCGACCTGGGCCACATGCGGCCCGGGGGCCGCGCGTTGGACAAGCCTGTCCTACACACTTAGTGACTAACAGAAGTATTTAAGCAAAATATTTTGGCTTTTACTTTCTTCATCTGCTCTAGTAAAAGTAATCTTGATATCATATTGTATGAAATACCACTGATGTAACAACTAAATTTTCTTGCATTTGCATCTACTGAATTCCAGACCTCAAGGCTGACAGTAGTAACTGCAGTTCCTTCCACAATTTATTATTTTTTCCGGAATATAAAGCTAACTTTACCTATCAGATCCTTACAGGAGATAGTTAAACAGTACTTCTTAATAGCTGAGTTATCTAACTTCTAGGGGAACATTACTTATGATTCCTAAGGGAATTTCATTTATGCAGGACTACATTCATAGCCCACAACAACTGACATAATTCTACGTGCCCTCTGGATCTTAACATTGCTTGATCAAAAATGTTGTTTAATCATAATAAATTAGAACAAGAAAAGTTTGTTGATAAATATGATTTTAAGATATGTAAATCGGTTAAATATTTAGGTATAGATTTAGTAAAAGATACTCAAAAAATAAAGGAACGTAATTATAATAAGTTAAAAGGAGATATTAAAAAGAAACTAACTAAAAATCTAACTCCAAAAGACCCAACTCATCTCAAACACAGAAATTCAAATAACAAAAAGAGTAAAGTAGGAATTAATTTAACTGCTAGATGTTCCTCATTGAAAGAAGATAACTATACGAAACTCCTTGAGCAGATCAAACAAGAGTTGGAAAGATGGAAGAAATTACAGCTATCATTTTTAGGTACAATGGCAACGGTGAAAATGAACATTCTTCCAAAAGTAATCTTCTTCTTCTTCCAGAACTTACCAATTACACTAGAGCAGAAATTCTTTGAGGAGTTAAACACTTTAGTTGCAAAGCTCATATGGCAAAAGAAGATGCCAAGAATCAAACGTAAACTATTACAAGACACAAAAGAAAGGGGAGGATTTGGTTTGCCAAATTGGAATCTATATTACCAAGCAAGCGCCTTAACATGGATTAAAGGATGGATAAAGCTAAAAAATGAGAGAATACTATACTTAGAGGGACATGATTTGCAAGCAGGCTGGCATGCATTTCTATGGTATGGAAGAACTAAAACTCAAAAATATTATGAAAGAAATATAATAAGGAATTCTTTGTTAAAAGTCTGGGGGGAAATTAAATGTAAAATATATTTGAAAACACCTAGATGGATCTCACCCATGGAAGCACTTACTCACCCAAACCTGTTAAATTTGGGGGAAATAACAACATATAATGAGCTGCTAAATGAGGAGGGACTATTAAAGACAAAAATTCAACTAGAGCGTGCCAAGGACTGACTTTTTCATGGTGGCCCCAAATGCAATTACAATCAAGAGGATTTTATAAAGAATATACAATATTTGATAGAATATTACTCACTACAGAAAAACAAGTTCAAAAATTATATACATTTTTATTGCAATAGGACACACAAGATGAAGAAGTTAAGGAGAGAATGTTAAAATGGTCCAAAAACATTGGATATAGTACAGAACTAGAAAAATGGCAACAAATATGGACAAAAAACTTTAAGCTAATATTAGCAACTTCTTATAAAAAATGTATATAAAATGTTCTATAGATGGCATCTCCCTCCATCCAGACTTGCAAAAATCTTAGCATATATGTCAAACAAACGTTGGAAATGCAAAAATCAGGAAGGAACTTATTACCATGCATGGTGGACATGTGACATAGCAAGAAAATATTGAATCAAAGTTCATATGTGGATTAAGCAAATGTCCAAGCAAGAATCAGAATTTAAACCAGAAATTTTCTTGTTGGGATTATTACCAAATAATATAAATACGCAAAGCTACTACCTAATATCACATGTATTCACAGCAGCTAGACTAGTATGGGCAAAGGTTTGGAAGAAGGGAGATCCACCAAAGGATGACATGATCATTTAAAAAATACTAGAATGTGACAGAAACTGAAAGACTAACAAAGAGATTAAAAGAACAAGAAAAATCAAATTCCTACTTAAGATGGAACTTATTTTATGAATGGTGGAAAGAAAAAGTTCTGTAATAAACAGAAATGAAAATGAACAATATGGAGAAGATCTTGCTGAAGTAGATCAGTGAATAAGATTGCTTGCAGGCTAAGATTTTTATACGTTTCTTATTTTATATATGATGCTATCTTTGTATATTTGTGAATTTTATGTTGGAAAATAAAAAATATAATAAAAAAAGAAACTACAGGATTATACTAACTTAAAAACCTTCTTGGTTTGGAAAGAACACACTGATAAAAATGAAAATTCTACCAAAATTAATTTTTTTATTTAGAATGTTACCAGTACAGTTAACAGAATATCATTTTGAATTTTGGCAAGGAATGATTAATAAATATTGTAATGAAGGGAAGAGAGCCAGAATAAATAAAAAGTATTGGTATAAAACCAAAAAAAGGGAAAGAATAGGCATACCAAATACGAAAAATTATTATTTGGCTAATCAGTTGAGGATCATTGGGGAAATTATAGGTTAATTTGGTGGAAAACAGAATCACCAGAATTACAGGTGGATACTGAAAAACATCTATTTGGTATAATTTAAAAAAATATAAAATAAGTGAAATTAATAACCCATTTTTAAAGACTATGTTAACATCTGGTACAAGTATAGAAAGAATTTATGTCTGTTAACTCTCCATTAGGATTAGTGACTGAAATAGAAAATTTTCCTGCCAATATGAAAGTTTATGCAGAATTATTTAAAGAAAAAAAGTGATTAGATTAAAAGACTGGTTGTATAAAATGAGATCAAAAGATCAAATGAAATAAATCCTTCAAAATAAGAATATACTATGGTTGAATTATATGCAGTTAGAAAGATGAACTAATGAATGGGGGTAAAGAAGTATAATAAATAGATTCCTGCTAGATCTAGAACATAGGTCGGGAAACAGGGGTAAATTACCACAAATGGCCTAAAAGTGAAAATCCTAGGGGTAATGAGCAGGCTGCTACCCCCCTCCCACCCACCCCCACCCTCTGCAGCCAAAGCTTTAATTGTAAACCATCTCGCCCGGTTGCAGCAGGGCACTTTTAAATGCTCCATTTGTGCAGAGATCGGGAAGATAAGCTTCCCTAATTGGTTGCAGCTGGGGATTAGCCCCGGGCAATCAGCCAATCCGGGGCTTCTGAATGACCGCTTCCTCCGGAAGTGACTGCAAAGAAGCAGCAGGAGGGAAAGGAGCAAGCAAGGGAAGGAGGGAAGAAAGAAAGGTGCGAGAGACCGAGGACTTCATCAAGCTTATTTAAATGTACAAAATGGAGGGTGTGTGTGTGTGTGTGTGTGTGTGTGTGTGTGTGTGTGTGTGTGTATGTGTGTGTGTGTGTGTGTGTGAGAGAGAGAGAGAGAGAGAGAGAGAGAGAGAGAGAGAGAGACTACTCAGAACTGAAAATGAACAGGCAAGCAAGCAAAAGAGAAACTGAATTAAGACGAGGGGGAAGGGTAGCTTTTTAAGGTGCTGTCTAGGTTTATCATTGCTTTCCTCCAAAGAGGCAGGCATCTTTGAATTTCGTGGCTGCTGTCTCCATCTGCAGTGATCATGGAGCCCAAGAAAGTAAAATCTGTCACTGCCTCCATCTCTTCCCCTTCTATTTCCCAGGAGGTGATGGGACTAGTGGCCATGATCTTCCTTTTTTTGATGTTGAGCTTCAGACCATTTTTTGCACTCTTTCACCCTCATTAAGAGGTTCTTTAATTCCTCCTCACTTTCTGCCATGCTTTTGCATAG